TGTAGAATCTATATTTTATGCACATATGCATCACTTTGGTTTTTATTCTACTGTACAAAAGTTATTAACACTTAAATACACAGTATTTTGGATACCCAAGCTGGGTATTGAACATTGGTTCATTTTCATATTTTTCATATGGTTCATATATGACACATGTATGAGTTATAGCTCAAATGAAAGCTCTTGCCGGTGCTCATACGGTTCTAGCATTCTTTTTACTGAATTATATTCAGAAATCAAACAGTTGTCGAATGAATCGCTGTGTTTCCATGGCGCAGAAGTGAAAACAATACATTTATGATCACTAAGCAGCCCCAGATAGCTCAGACAGCTGTCATCTCTTACCTTATGCTGTGCGCTTCAGAGCCATTTCTCCTCTGTTTTTGAGATGATGTGCATAAGTAATACTTTTATATGTCTGATGTGGTTCAAACACAGTGAATTATGTTTGATCAAACAAAAGAATGTTGAAATATAAAAACAATAAACGGTCCCTGTGGCTTGTATAGAACCTTTCATCAGTTGGAATACAATAACTTTTGCATAGATTAGGGTAGAGACATTTTTTTTCCTATGATTACAGACATGTGCAGGAACCACCAAAATTATTTACAGCATGCTAGACAACACAGAACCTAAAAGGTGCACTTTCAAATTTGAGTTTGTAAAAAAAAAAAAAGCGCCTCTTTTTTTTTAGGTGTTTATTATAACACAGACAACATATACAGTATTTTAAAAACTTTCAATAGTGTTTTATGAAAATTCAAAGGGTTTTCTTTAAAATGATACCAAATTTCTGCATTTAATTTGCATGCGGATTTGGGAGGCTTTTAAATTTGGGTAGTCAAAATCCAGGTGGAAATCCCAAAATAGCAGCAGAGTTTAACTGGTTAACATAGCATCCAAATCCCAGTGATTTTGAGGCCCACCACAACGTGATGTATTAGTGCAGTTTTCCCCGCCCACCAAATTGACTGACAGGCAGCACGTTTCAATAATAACATGTATACACATGTCCACATAACATTTTTATTTGCAAATAAACTGGGATTAAATTTTGTTACAACTCTCTGTGATTTCATGTTTTATAACTTTAAAAAGTTTTTTAAAACCGAGCATGTTCGTAATAAAGACAGTAAAATTGCTATGTAATTCCTAACCCCTGTAACCACCATGGCCGCATGGTGTCAGTGAATGCTAATATATGTTTGTGTATGTGTACGGCATTTGTGTGAAACTCATCATTTCAGAAAGGTTTGAATAAACTCCATCACAAATAATTGAAATAAACGTAGTTGATATTTCAGCTTAATCTGAGTCTGTTTCTGTCACTGTGCTGTTTATCTGATGTAACACATCATGAGAAGCAGACACACACATCGGAGCAGTGGATGGGGAGAGGCAACTCATTTTCATTTACAGCTACAATGAATTTAGGCACCAAAATGGGCAGATTCTGCAGGCTGTAATAAATTATATGAATTTTTTTTTTTTTTTTTTTGAGCTGAGACTTTACAGACACCAAAGGCTCTTTAATGTTCCTAAAAAAATTCTATCAATGTTGCAAGAATGTTCCAAAACCCAAATACATTATTTTGAATGATGTTATTATCATGTTGTAGTTATTATAATACATTAATAATGTTACTTTTAAGGAATGTTACTCAATGTTGGGAACAGAATATGCTTGCATTAGCATTAACGCTTTTTTATTATAAGTAGCATTATAAATATGGCAAGAGAATGTTATGCTTTTTGAGGAGACTATTATGATGCAGGCATGTTCTACAAAATAATGTACTATATTTTTTTAAAGGCCAATCAGTGTGAAAATAAACCACTGGCAGTATTTTATTCAAATGATTTCTCTTGAGCTAGATCTACAGTTTCAGTAATTTCTGATCTGTGTTATTCTTTAACTCTCTTGGTAAGGGTCATTAGACTGTGCCTGCAATGATAGGAATATATTAAAATAAAACAAAACAGTAAAATATTACCTATTTTTGCAGTAAAAGTACACAGCATTGCAGAAAATACAGATTTGAGAGGATATTTCAAGAAAAAGTGAAAAAGTGTTTGCCCCTTCTGAATTCTTTTTTTTTTTTTTGCATTTTTTCTTTAATGTTTTAGATCAGGGGTGTCAAACTCAATTCCTGGAGGGCCGAAGCCCTGCACAGTTTAGTTCCAACCCTGCTCCAACACACTTACCTGTAGGTTTCAAACATGCCTGAAGAACTCAATTAGTTTGATCAGGTGTGTTTAATTAGGGTTGGAACTAAACTGTGCAGAGCTGCGGCCCTTTTGGAACGGAGTTTGACACCTGTGTTTTAGATCATCAAACACATTTAAATATAAGTTGAAGATAAACACAAGTAAACTATTTTTAAATGACTGACATCAATTGCAGGCATTTGTGCAGAAAACACTTGTGGTGATTGAAAAATGTGTCAGAGAGATATGGGGATTACAGGACAAATATAGAATATTAGGACTTGTTTCAGATGACTGGTGCTCGTAGGCTTACTTATTTTGAATACATGATTACTGTGTGACTCCTATAAAAAGATTTGTTCAGTGAATGTGTGCAAATATGTTAACATAGGCTCATTCTGAAAATGTAGCCCTAAATACATTTCTGGAGATCGCTGAATTATGTAGCCAGAAATTATTTATGTAGCCAGTCTTAAAAACGAAAACGCTACTATGCGGTATGACGGTGTGCCTTTTTTGTGCTTACCAGCTGACCGCTTACCTCTATATAAACAGCTGTCCTGCTGTTATCAGTTTGTCCAGTTAGCTCATCATCTACATCGGTGGACTTGAGACGAAGAGTGGAGCTGACCTTGATGGGTTCGAGTCCGGCGAAGCAGGTAAAACAAAAACAGAAGCCAAAAAATAAAATAAACAAACAAACAACAGTCTAAGAATGTGGTGAAATCTAAAAACATGGTAAAAATCAGGTGAGGGGTTTTCTTTATTCTTTTGTCAGTTGGGTTAAGGGAAGTGGGTGGGCGGGTCAATTAGTGCTTTTGAAAACACTATTGGTTGGGTTTAGGCAAGAAGGAGGGTGGGTCAGTTGATCGGTCAATCAGTCATTCAGTCAGTCGACAGTCAGTCGATAGCGTTCTCTAGTGGATTTACCTCAGAACAGCAGGCGTGAATAGCACTCGTGAGAGAACTTTGAGATCTAAAAAAGCATTCACAGCGGGCTCGGGTGGATTCGCTAAAAGCAGAATCCTCCAAAAAATTTAGCTCCTGGGACTTATTTGGCCCTCGCTACAAATGTACATAGAAGAGCTGCACAATTAATCGGAAAAAGATCGCGATCTCGATTCAACCCCCTAGACAATCTTAATCCAGCATTTCTACGATTCTGCTAATCATATTTTCAAGTTCAGGAGAGAAGCAAAAGCGGCCGCACAAGTCTTCACATTGTTTTACAAACGTTATTCAGCAACGTAGACACCAATGGTGTTGAACGAGTCACATACTGTATTTATAAGGTATAATTCACCCAAAAATGTAATTTCTGTCTTCATGTAATGATGTATTCGCGGCCGCGAAGTCACATGTGACGTGAACTGGCCGTGACCTGTTACCACAGAGAGGGCGGGCATGCGCCTGTAAATGAAGTCTACACTTCATGAACAGAACCTGCATAGGCTGTGAATAACAGGTATTAGTTATAAATAATATTCAGTTTATTGCACAGAGAGATCATTTGGGAGCTGCGCCGGAAGTATGAACCACACTTAGCGATTTTCATTTTAGCCAGAATCGTGCAGCTCTAGTATATAGTGGTACGTTTTCAGAATAAGCCTGGGTTGCAATATGTACTATGGTACATTGGCCTGTTGTTTGTATCATGTGACCTAGTGTAACCCCGCCGGTCCTACACCACCCAACCCGCTCCGAGCTGGTATCGAACCGGCGACCTTCCGCATAGGAGTCAGTAGCTCTACCAAGGAAGCTAAAGAACATTAGCTCAAGCGTCTGTCGCTAGAGCACCTTTAGAGGTCAGAGGAGTGAGGTTTACCTGCACAGCACTTACTAGATGACCTCTTTTACACTAGCAGTGTTGCTTAGATTGCCTAATAACAAATTATAAACAATAATAATAAAAAACACTGTAAGGTAACCACAAATTAACCATGTTTTTGCAACATTAACAATATTTAATCATGACATTTGTGGTAACACAATTGGTAATCATTTGACCAAAAAATTGTGCTTTATAACTAGAATTTGTGCTTGTTGCTTTGTATTTAATAGGCCTATTTGTTTTTGTTTATATTGCCTTCGTTTCCCCTTATTTCTCTCATGCGTTTGTTATATATTTAATTCATAATTACCTTGTTGTTAAAAAATGAAATAGTTTGAAAAGACTGTAAATAATCTGTTTTATTTATAGGCCTACTCTAAATCTTTTGTTGTTATAATTTTTTTTTTTTTAATGATGATGATGCAGTGTAATCAGTAGGGCCAGATGGAATCTGCGGACGTTTTTCGCTATTTCTGCTGAGAATTTTGGTAAAAATCCGCGGATTTCTGTAAAATTATTTTGGGAGTATCATAACTAAAACCTTAATATGTGAAATAAAAAATAATAACTTTTTTTTAGTCGAACACACCTATACAACCAGAACATATAATAAAAATTATACATATATAAATTGTTGACAAAAAGATTTGTAACATGCATTGAGAAAAACAGACTGGTTGAGTGTGTGCTAATTTACCTGAAGTAAATGATTGACTCGCTCAAAGTTTTCGTCGCCACCTACTGGCGAAATTGTAACATGCAGGAAAAGGGTCACTCATTAAATCGTTTTTTCAGCGAATCGTTTTGATGAAAAGAGTCACGAGAAACAAATCACAGCGTGAATCTTTTTTTTAAGTTGTCCAGTGAGGGTGCAGCTAAACTTGACGCTGACGCACCATCCAGCACGTTTGACGCGTCCAGTGAATAAAGTTGCGGCTGTGCGTGACGTCAGATCACACAGTTCTCCTCCTCATACCGGTGGGGCCACTGATACCTCAAGGCGCACTGTCTTTAACCATAATATTAATAACGTTAAAATAAAAATATTTTTCTTTTCTCCCCTTTTTTCTTTTCTTTTTCGGTAACCCAACACCATCAAAGCTGAAGTTCCTTTAGAAAAGGTAAGCTTGTTCTCATCTAACATTAGCCTAGGCTCCTGCTGCTGTAAAATGGCTCCGGTTACTCGCATGTTCTCGCTTTCTACCTTTGCTAGATACATAACAACTTACAGTCCGTTATCCCTCCGAGCTGACCGCCTCTACCAAGCTAACCCTTTAGCTTTAGCGCTATGTGTGAGCTGTGTGTGTCTATGTTAATTGTGTGGCTGTCCTGACTCCCTTTATGCTCCTTTATGAGAAAATGGCGTCTGGTTATTAGATCAGCTGTTCTGTCGCAACACCCTACCGGTAAACCGCACATTTGACCATAAACCGGCCATTATTACACTAACAAGTGACATGTTATCAAACTCCATTTATAGGTTTAAATTCTACTTCTTTGTTGAGCTCCGTTTTAGCCTTGAGTGTCTCAATGTAGTCGGGTTTCTTGTGTGTGAAAATTAGCTTCAATGCTAATGCACGAGAGGAGATGTATGTCAACAACTGAGTGTGAATTTTAATTATTGTTCAGCATCATCATAAAGTTTACATGGCTTCAATCAGTACAGATGTCATCCATTGTAATGAATAACAAACATTTGAATGAGCACAAATATGATATCACGGGATTGCGGTTTAATAAATCAAGGTTCTTTTGTGAAATCTGAGCTCATGGCAGAGGCCTTGGGCTTTGTTCAGATTTGGTGGCAGTTTCTTACATTTTAAAAGCTTTTACATTTTTTTACAGGAACTAAAACAACCATTTATTCTCTGCTTGATGTTTTGTTTTAAGTTCTTTGCTTGTCATTTCCATTTATGGTGTGATTTGTGATGAATTAAGGTGCTTTTCTCTTTTCTCAGGCCGTGTTTTACACCCCCACCCTTTCACTCTCATTCTTTTTGAGGATCTTTCATTGTCAAGCCGCCAAAGTGGAGAGTGTGATTGCAGAGGGGGGTGCTTCTCGTTTCAGGTACTCATTGTTTCATAAGTACTGTTTATGATTAAGCAAATTTATTATTTGGTTGAGGTGTTGTACATACTGGTTGCTTTTTAATAAAAGAGTGTCTGACTGAACATCTCTTACCCATGGCTTTCTGTGAATGTTGATTATAGAGATCTGAAATTAAATATATATTAGTAGACCTGAAAAGACAATTTTCCCTTCTCTAGTGCTTCTTCGGGCGGAGGAGGAGGTAGGGGTGCAACTCAGCACTATCCCAAGTCTGTCGGCAACAGGTACATTTAGAGAGTTTGATTTATTTGGGAGATATTACTGTAGTACGTTTTAAAATGTTCTTTTAGTTAATTTGTATTAAAGCATGCTTTTTTTTTGTCCTCCAGAGGAACAAAGAGGCAATGTCTCCAAAAATTCTAAATGACTAAAAATATACATAGGATGATACTTTGTATGAAATCAAAATGTACTATGTTAATTTTGCTAGTGCACATTGTTATTCTTTCGGAAACAATTTAGGTAAACAAAAAATATTTCTTGGTAATATTTAATCAAAATCTGACCATTTGCTTCAGCATTTGGATTGGCTGTCCTCCTCTGCTGTTGTCAGTTGGATGGCTCAATGGCACAATATTTTTAACCACACCCTTCTTACTGTTATGCTGTATTCACACCAGATGCGGAACGCTCTGATAAATCGCGCTATTTTGAGTTTACTCGCTTCATACGCGCGTCAAACCCTGCTTCATTCACGTGTCAAATTCACATCAGAACAGACGTGGATTCGCGTGATGGGCAGGGCTTCTGTCTGCCCGGTGACTCTAGCTAAATGGCTAACATGGATTTTATGAAGAAAATAACAGTGTTTATGTGCTTTTATGAAGACTGAAAAACAGCGTCGATACGTTTAAAGTCGTGTCTGAGTCCCCTACATTCTTTCAGAGGTGCATCCAGCTCTGTGAGCTCATAAACTCCTCCAGAAACTTAACCTGGATGACGGAGGCTTTCAGCAGTGCTTCTGACTGAGCCAAGCCAACTTTGATGAACTGTTGTTGGTGAAGGCTGGAGGATTTCCCTCGGAACACCGACAACAGGTTCTACGTCACAATCACGCCCCCACAAGAGCAAGCTTCTGATTGGTTAATGCGGCACAAATGTACGCTGAAGTTCAGATTTTCGAAATCGAGAGATTCGTGCGAAATGCTCGTTAAGCGAGTCACACTCGCAAAATGCTCAATTCGCCCCGCGCCATTCGCGCAATTTGCGTCATTCGCGCAGCGCCATTTGTGCGTATCGCGCTGCAGGATGTCTATTTGCGTGCTTGCATTGACTTAACATGTAAATCACTCGCGCTTGACGCGCGTGCCACGTCTGGTGTGAACACAGCATTAGTTTGGTATAAGGGAATGATGCGCATCATACTGAAATGAGTCTCCACAACTACCGGTTCACACAGGCTTTTTAAGGTAACTTTCGAAAAGATAAGTCTGGAGTTAGTTTCATATAGAGGCGTATAATTTCTGTAGATTTTCACAAGCTCGTTGTTGACGTTATTATATCACAATGACTACATCTGCAAATGAGTGAGAAATTCTGCCAATGAACCGTTACCTCCAAGAGTTTGTTGATTTTCGATTTGCCAAATAGCAGTCAGCTACAAATTCTGCAAAAAATAAAATTTGACAAGTACCTTTAGTATTCATGAGAAAAATAGTAATTTTTTTTATGGAATTTGAAAGTATTTATGAAAAATAATTGTGCACTTTTTATTACATGTATGCTTATGATCTGGTGAAAAATGTCCCTTTTTTATAAACGCTTCTCTACAAAAACCAAGAACAAAGCATCTAGAAAACATAAAAGATTCAGTGATCTAATCAGCAAAGCCAAGTCCCACCATACATCTCATTTGTGAAGCTGTTTCACTCTGTCACAATTGTGAAGAATGGATGATGTGCGTTTTCAGCGGTGTAATGTGGACGGAGAGTTGGTCAAATGCTTGGTGAAATGCCAGTGTGGATGCGGATCATTTTCATTCTAAAACGCAGTTTTAAAACTAAAACTTACTAGTGTAAACAGGGCCTTAAATGCTGTCTCCTGTATTTTAGTGCTTCATGTGACATTAGCAGCTCATTGAATCCTTTACAAAACAAGTAAATGTGTGCCATTGTTTTCTAGCGAGTTCCTGGGGAAAACCCCAGGGCCTAGCGTTCAGAGATGGGTTCCTTCACGAAGCACTAGACGAGATGTCAACTCCTCCAATGAAAAAGAACGACACGATGCAATCTTCAGGAAAGTGAGAGGGTAAGGCTCTGGAATTAATTTACTACTGCAAAGCTACAGTAGAATTTCCCCCTGATTTGACTTGCAAGAACAATAGATTATGCTGCTGATAGCAGAATAAATGTAGTCATACTGAAAAATTGCATGGGTGTGGCATGGCAGAATATTTCATAAATTTGTGTACTTGGTTGCAAGCAAAATGTTTATTAATTTTTTAAAATAAATGCTAGATGTTGGTTGTTATTAAAGAGATTACTGTTTTGTTTTGATGTCCTTCTAGCATACTTAATAAACTGACCCCTGAAAAGTTTGACAAGCTATGCCTTGAGCTCCTGAATGTGGGCGTAGATTCAAAGCTCGTCCTCAAAGGAATCATCTTGCTGGTGAGGAATTTTATTCGCTTTCAAAATTTCACTTCACCTCAACTCAATGCAAGTAATTACTAGCAAAATACAACAATGAATTTTTTTACAATAACATTAAAATGGACCATTTAAAATTAGGGGGGAGGGGGTAGTCGATGTATGATGGGAAAAGTCAAGTCATGCATTGCATTTTTTACTCATTCAAGAAGCTATTTCACTTCAGTATATGTTACAATCCAGATCCCTTTCCTTCTGTAGCAATTTTAAACCCTTCTAAAGATAATTAATAATTTAATAACTGAATTGAGTTATTTCTTAAAGTTCAAGTAAGATGATAAAATACAAAAAGCATTGATAATATAGAATGTGACTGTTTGGATAATTTGTTAAAGCTATTATATTGACCTATCTACTCCTTTATCAACTAGATTATGTGCGCTGGATTGCAAACATAGTTAAATTGATTTTAGATGTTGAATGTTACTAAAGAGATTGCTGTTTTGTTTCGGTGTCCTCCTAGATTTCTTAATAAATTGGTGACATTTCTAAACACTCAATGCCTGCAGTTTCATAGCAAAATGCAATGATTTTGAAGGTACAATGCCATTGAAATTGATTATTTTAAATTAGTGTATATTTCAGTCAATTTATCATGGGCAAAGTAGAGTCATGGACTGCATTTTTCAAGAACCTATTTCACTTTTATTATACGTTACAATAAGATCCCTTTTGTGGCAATTTTAAACATTTCTAAAGATAATTATATATTAATGATTTGAAGCTAATTATAAATTGAGCTATTTTTTTTCTGTATTGTCTTTCCAAGTAAGAGTACAATTCCAAGCAGCTGTTATTATTTCCAGCAATGATAAAATTATTGAATTAACTTTTTAAATCTGAAATGTTAAGTGCAATTGTTTGGTAAAGCTTTTATCATAATGATATTAAACCATCTGCTCCTTTTACCAACTAGATTGTAGACAAAGCCCTCGAAGAGCCGAAGTATAGCTCGCTATATGCTCAGCTATGTCTGCGCTTGGCAGAGGATGCTCCAAACTTTGACGGCCCATCAACAGAGATCCAATCATCACAAAAGCAGAGCACTGTAAGAATTTGTCACTTCTATCTGTTTGCTTTAGGGTTCATAACACAAAGCACACTTATATTATCTAATCGTGTTCCTACAGACATTCAGGAGACTTCTGATATCCAAACTTCAAGATGAATTTGAAAACCGCACCAGAAATGTTGACAGTAAGTAGATTTCTGGAAGTGTCTGTTTTATCTCAGCACTGCTGATTTGTCTTTCTTACTTAATTTTTTTTCCTTTTTAAGTCTATGATAAAAATGACAGTCCTCTCACCTCTGAGGAGGAGGAGCAGCGTGCCATTGCCAAGATCAAAATGCTGGGCAACATCAAATTCATTGGAGAACTTGGCAAGCTCGATCTCATTCATGAGTCTATCCTTCATAAATGCATCAAAACAGTGAGTCATTCATAAATAATCCATTTAAATATTGATGTTCGCTCTCGGCCATCATTCTAACATGAACTTTTCTGATTAAAGCTTCTGGAAAAGAAGAAAAGAGTCCAACTTAAGGATATGGGGGAGGATTTGGAGTGCCTCTGTCAGATAATGAGAACCGTGGGGCCAAGGCTAGATCATGAGAAAGCCAAGGTAAGCTGCTTTAAGACTACCAGGACTTTGACTGCATTAAGGCGCAGTGGCATTTCCTAACGCGCTTTTCTCTTGCAGTCTTTAATGGATCAGTACTTCGGCCGTATGCGATCCTTAATGAACAACAAGGACTTGCCTGCTAGGATTCGATTCCTGCTTCAGGATACTGTGGAGCTGCGAGAGAACAACTGGGTGCCTCGGAAAGCTTTTATTGATAATGGACCTAAGACTATCAACCAGATCCGTCAGGATGCAGTAAAGGTCAGATCCTGCCCTTTAATTTATTTCTTGGACCCCCCCCCCCCCTTTTTTTTTTTTTTTTTTTTTTTTTTAGATTTTAGTATCAGTATTGTTTGTTTTTTGGATATCTAGCATTTCGGAGATTAAAATTGCTATAAACAAAGCTTGTGGTTTGTCACTTCTGCCTAAATCAGGGGTGTCCAAAGTCGGTCCTGGAGGGCTGGTGTCCTGCATAGTTTTGCTCTAACTTCCTTCAACACGCCTACCTGGAAGTTTCTAGTATAACTAGAAAGAGCTTGATTAGCTGGTTCAGGTGTTTTTAATCAGGGTTGGAACTAAGATATGCAGTACACTGGCCCTCTCGGACCGAGTTTGGACACCCCTGGCCTAAATGGATCAACGGTTTTATTCACTTCATACTTCAGTTTCTCGTCAAATCGTGACCAATCAATCAAATCCTTCAGAACACTTTTCATTTGTGTTTGAACTCAACCGCTCACTTACAGAGCGGTGGTTTAAAAAAAATCAAATGGCCAATAGTGTTGTTTCAAGGGAGGAGTTGCACTGTCCCACCATCCCTTTGTTTCAGTTGAGATTACGTCAAAATCAACTAAAAATTTGCACTGGTGCCAAAAGCTTAGTGGTTGGGTGTGCTGGCATGTAGCACCATGGTGCTCGTGGTAACCCAAGTTCGATTCCTGGGTTGAGAGTCCTTTGCTGACCCTTCCCCTCTCTCTGCTCCCAATACTTTCCTGTCTGCAACCTCTACTATCCTTTCCAAATAAAGGTGAAAATCCCTAAAAAAAAAAAAAAAACAAATAAAATAAAAATGCTAATTTTAAAGCACTCCACGACACCTTTAAACCTGACCATTACATTATTAGCATTATTTATTTATTTATTTATATATATATATATATATATATATAATTGAATTATAATTTAATAAAATGAAATTATTAAAATCTGACAATACAAACTGCTTGAGATGCCAAACCAATCTGAGTGGACTGTCTAGGCCACAGCCATATCACCCTGCAGCCCAAGACCGTATACTTACTGAAACTAAGCAGGGCTGAGCCTGGTCAGTACCTGGATGGGAGACCACGTGGAAAAACAAGGTTGCTGTTGGAAGTGGTGTTAGTGAGGCCAGCAGGGGCGCTCAACCTGTGGTCTGTGCGAGTCCTGATGCCCCAGTAAAGTGAAGGGGTGTTGTCTTTCGGTTAAGACATTAAAGTGAGGTCCTGACTCTCTGTGGTCATTTTAAAAATCCCATTTAGAGAGTAAGGGTGTAACCCCGGTGATCCTGATCAAATTCCTTTCATTACCCCTTATCCATCATGGCCTACCAATCATCCCCATCCACCAAATTGCCTCCATCACTGTCTCTTCACTCCACTTATTGCTAGCGCACTGACGCTATTGTCCTGTGACTGCCTGATAAAGCGCTTTGGGTGTATGTCCACACACGATAAATTTGCTATATAAATGCACATTACTTGCTATAAATAAATAAGACTGTCCTTGTAAACTTTTCTAAATTGTGAGAATCATCTCAAATCATGAATGTAGTGAATCGTTGCATTCTTATCAACCATGCATACATGGTGTAGAACATTACTGATTAAAATAGGAATAATCCTATTATATTTCAATGACAGATTTTCAAATTGTAAACGCTTTTAATGTTTGTAAAGTTTCAAATTATTTATTTTTGTGATCTGCAGTTTGCAGGTATGATTAATTCCATAAGCAAGGTGTCTGTGCCCTTAAAAGAAAACTTGCACTTATTGCAGATATATAAACCGGTTTACTTATCGGTGTTTATAATAATTATTTTTTTATCCTTATAGGATTTGGGTGTTTTTATTCCACCTATGACTCAAGGAATAAGAACTGACTTCTTTCAAGAGAATTCGTTCATGCCGACAAGAATAAAACCTGATCGAGAAACTCTTGGGGGATTAGCGGATATGTTTGGGCAGATGCCAGGTATGTCCTGAAGTGTATTGACATTTCTGGGGCAGGTGGTGCATGACTGGATTTGCACTATGGTTCATTGCAAGCTTAATAACGGTGTTGTCTGGTCTTAGGCAGTGGGATTGGAACTGGCCCTGGGGTCATTCAGGACAGGTATTCGCCAACCATGGGCCGCCGCACAAACCCTCTTTTCAATGGGCACAGTGGCCACATGGCTCCTGCACCCCAGCCTTTCATTAAATCCAACCAGGTAAATGCCAAGCTACCAAATAATTGATTATTCGGGGTATCGAAATGTTAGCGGAACTAACAAGTATGTTTCTTTTTGCCAAAGGGGCAGAACCTGCTTTTCCAAAACCAGACTCATTCATCTCAACAGCAAGCTCAGTCTAAGGATATGCCACCACGTTTCACTAAGAAAGGACAGCTGAATGCTGATGAGGTAGGAGCACATTTTATTTCACCAACTCAACAGCCTTTCAGTCGTTATCAATGTAAGTGTGTTGGGTGCAAAAATAAAATTGAAGGTTACAGTACAGCAAAAGAATCAATTTTAAGTCAGTTTGTTTTCGTTTTTCCTCATTTTTTACTAATGTTTTTGTAATATATTTCTATTTTCTTGTGGTCGTTATTGTTGTTATTATTCATCTTTATTAAGATTTATTGGGTGATGAAACCTAATGCAAAATAATACGATGACTCATACGGATGGCTTTCTCTTCATAATTCAGATTAGCTTGAGACCAGCTCAGTCATTCATCTTGAACAAAAACCAAATGCCAAAGTTGCAGCCTCAGATCCCAACCATGATTCCTCCTAGTGCTCAACCTCCACGTACATCCACACCACCGCTGGGACAGGTAATAAAGACAAATATTTTGCAAAGGAACGAAGTCTGTTTCTTTTTTAAAATGTGCTTAACTCTACCCTTTGCTTAGCCACCACAGCTTGGGCTGAAAACAAACCCACCTCCAATCCAGGAGAAGCCACAGAAGACGATCAAGAAGCCGCCTCCTGCTAAAGAGGAACTTCTTAAGATGACTGTATGTACCCCTTGACATCTTTTTATTGACGTTTGTCCAGCAAAACATTTGAATGAGCCGTTCCTTGTACTTTTATTTGTACAGGAGACTGTGGTGACCTCCTACCTGAGCAGCAAAAACATGAATGATGCTGTGAACGGGGTGCGGGAGATGAAAGCTCCCAAACACTTCCTACCTGAGATGTTGAGCAAGATGATCATATGCTCGCTGGAGAACCCAGATGAGGACCGAGAGCATGTCAGCACTCTGATCAATAAGCTCCGTGTGGAGGGACTGGTCTCGGGAGAGAACTTTTTGCAGGTGTGTGTGTTAGGAGGATAATGTGGATTGTATGTGGCTCATGTTTAAAACACATTCAGCAGATGCGAGGGTAAAAATGAAGTGGGCATACATGGGTCCATTACAAACCTTAAAATAATCGTCCATCCATCCATCCATCCATCCATCCATCCATCCATCCATCCATCCAGTTGAGCCTGTGAAAAATAAATAAATTAATTTATTAAAAATAAATTAATTTATTAAAAGTAAATAAATTAATTTATTAAAAGTAAATAATTTATTAAAAGTAAATAAATTAATTTATTAAAAGTAAATAAATTAATTTATTAAAAGTAAATAAATTAATTTATTAAAAGTAAATAAATTAATTTATTAAAATGAATAAATAAATTAATTAAAAATAAATAAATCCCTGCTTCTTGCAAATACAAAATGAAAACTAGATAGTTTGATCCTGCAAACCAAATACTGTTATGCCCACATTTTAGAAATTTACTTAAAATAATATTTTCGAATTGTTGATTTGTGTGTAGACAAACACAGGACAGGTAAATGGAGCAAATAAAGAGTGTCATTGATAGAGAACAAGCTGAGAAATGGGCTAGAGCAGAAGTCTTTACTAAATATAACAAGGATCTTGCGGGACTACAAAAAAAAAGGCAAAACAAACCTGCTGCTATATAAACCACAGTGAATGTTTTCTCTTTGCTGCTGAAATCTGGTACAAACATGATCAAAGTGAACCATGTCAACTAATTTCGTGAAGCTATAGAAATGTGCTTAACAAAAATCGTGACCAGCAGTTGACTCTGACTGCATAAAGGAAAACATATAGTAGTTTTCCTTTCCTTTGGAAAGATTTTGAGCTGTTTTAGGCTGTAACATTTTCTTGCACCTGAAAACACTGTTTATAAGTTAATAGCTACGTTTCGATCCACCTATTATTATGCGCATTTTAGATATGCGCTTTAAAAAAAAGACCATTAATTGGAACACCAAGATGCGCATACATTTTAAAAATGCGCATGACTAAATAGGATAAACTATTATTATATATATATTTTTTTTTCGATAGGAAAAGATGCACAAACTACGATGGAAACACTTACTGAACAAATTGCAGTATGCACATTAAAAAAGGTCATGTGATTTTGTTATAAGAGATCATGTGGTGATAAAATGTGTGCGAAAAGACAAACCAGCAGGCTGAGCACACTGTAAAACATCTGAAATGTTGTTTTGGTCATTCTAAAATGCCTTAACTATCTCAATATTGGTGTTATTATATTATTAATTGCCTCCAGAATCTAGAGTGTCTGTACTCTGCGTCTTACACCTTCAAACGTCACCGTGCCTTCTGAGGCGCAAGTCATTTCCTAAATGAAAAAAGATTCACGGAGCTTCTCTTATCGCTGTTGATTTGGAGCCAGTTAATCAGGAAGTGACTGTTGTTTGGTTTTTCGTTGGATGGAAACGCTGCTTTATTTGCGTGTCTTTTTATGCGATAGTTCGGTTTTGCGCAATAAGTTAGTTTGCATTTTTTAGATGGAAACATAGCCTTTTCTCCAGATTTTCTTGTGCGATCATGCACGTTTGGGAAGAAAAAGACACTTTCAGTAACCAACTTTTTGCTCCCATGGATGCAACATCAGCAATTAACATGATGTATGCTACTCACTGCATTTAATCATTTAATGTTTCTATTAGGGATGTAACGGTATCAGAATTTCACGGTACGGTAATACCTCGGTATGAATGTCACGGTACGGTATTTATTGAATCATTTACAGGAAAAAACAAAACTTATGAAAATACTCCAAAAAAGTGCCAAAAGTGTCAATGACATACAAATTAGTCATCTATCTGTAAGCTTTGAAACAGGAACTTCAATTTTAATAACAAAAAATATTAAACCATGTAAAAAAAATAAAGTTTCAATTTAGTAGTGTTGAAAACTCATCACATTCAACATTTAATCACTCACTCACTTAGATAGAGATGGGTTTAAAGGAAAATTATCATATAAATATAATCTGGTAAAAGCTGGTATCTCTGGGTATTTACAATGTCCCCTGCAACAGAAAAAAACCCTCTCATTTGGGACTGAGGTTTCTGGGACAGACATATGACTTGGCCCAGGTTGACAGCAGTGGGTAACGTTGTGCATTGTCTTTCCCCCACTTGAGAGGACAAACCATGAGTAAGATAGAGATCTCATGTCTGCATCAATCTGAACAGTGTGCTGTGTTTCTGCAGTCCCCATGACTGATTATTATCGTATTGGGGGACGTATTCCCCAACTTGCAGGCACGTGCACACACAGGGCTCAACCTGTGCAGTGCACATGCCCTTTTTAGTCTTGGATAGAAAGTTCCCTTCCAAAATGATCAAAAGTGCCCCCGCGACGCGACATACCCTCCATCCCCGCTTTACAGTACGCGCGCGGCGACAACACCCGCTTTAGGGTTTTCCAGCGCTTTTTCATCCCCGCTTCTAGCAGCACACTCCATTTCCGCATTACTGGATCTGTAGCGACAACAGACCGCAAGGGATTATGGCCAAGCCTGGGCTGATGGGAATTGTAGTTTCCGGTACCTCCCGTTCGCTTCATTCGCCTGAGCAAATTTTCTCAGAAGACCTATAGTTTTACCGAGTCATGCGACTACGGTAATATCGAAAAAAATTAATATTGCGGTATGACGGTATTTACAATACCGTTACATCCCTAGTTTCTATACATTATTAATCGGCGAAATCTAAACAATTAGTCTAATTAATTAGATTATTTGACTATTAATTAAATTACTTTAGATCATTTTAATTTGGGGTTACTTGCACCCCTAGTATGTCTACACACCAATCACATTTAAAGCTCAGGTATATTTCAAACAAAATCGAAAAAACACCTTAAATTACATCGTCGTGGCCAGATTTGAGTCGAAATAAAGTTGATTCAAGTTTGTTTTGGTAGTTCAAAACCGCTCACCACAGCATCATTTTAGGGGGAATTAATTTTGTTCCTAAACCCCTTTTTGAGCTACCATTTGGTCAGTGGCGATTACGCAATTGGTGGGTGACTTATAGAGCTGAATATGGTTTAATTCAGTGTCTGACCACGGCAAGTATTAAGCAATGTGACGTGGCCCCTTTTTTGTTGGAGAAGGCTGTTTACTAGATGTTTATGAAACTCTCAGGTGCCATTGGTGTGTTTGGCAGTACTAAAGCAGCATGAAGACCCCACCTACTGCTGAACGGGGGAGTTGGAAATAGTGTAACGTCACTCAGACTTTTCAAACTTATTGGCCTCAAATGAAAAACAAAAAAGCACTTCTTTTGAAGTATACTAGAGACTTTTACTCTTGTTGCATCTGAGCTCAAACTATGAGAGCGTTTTCTAACATTTTATATTTTCCTCAGGCTTTCCTCAATGTTCTGGACCAGTGTTCTAAGATTGAGTTGGATGTACCTCTGGTGAAGTCTTACCTGGCTCAGTTTGCTGCCCGGGCAGTCATTGCTGAACTCGTGAGCATGGCAGAGTTGGCTCATCCGCTGGAGAACGGCACACACTTCCCTCTTTTCCTCCTCTGCTTGCAGCAAATGGCCAAACTGAAAGATCGGGAGTGGCTGACTGACCTCTTCCAGCAGAGTAAGGTCAACATGCAGAAGATGCTGCCAGGTTGGTGCTTTTGTGTACGCTTGTTCTTTCATCATCATTCAGGTCCTTTTAAAAAACCTATAAGGAAATTAACTGTATGTTATGATGCCTTTGAAAAGTTAATACTTCTATACAGCTGATCATTAAACTGTATTTCTAAATGCTCTAACTAGGGCTGCACAATAGATCAAAGATATTATGATTACAGAAAATGCAATATCCAGATCACAATAAGTGCAATAAATAGTTAATCATATGCCAAGCATTTGTGTTCATAGCAATTTAAAGTCTTAATGTTTGCAAATTTGTTTTGTTAATTTACTTTGAAAAATATCTGTAACCTGTTTTATCATTACATAAAAAATATATTTTTATTTGTACTGTCATGGAATTGACATGGCATTTTCCAGGCCTGCAAAAGTTTTGAAAACACAAAAAAAAGCCAACAAAGTTTTGGGAAAAGTCATGGAAATTAGTTGCAAATACCTATCTGAATACTTGAATTAGGGCTGTGCGATATTGGAAAAATTACGATATTTTTAATTTCTGTGATTTATATATTGCGATGTAAATACAATTTCACCAGATTATTTAACAGGTTTATTTGGATTGATTAGGGGGGTTTTGTAGAGCAGTGAATGTCGAATAATAAATAAATTACAAGCATAGATAAATAAAAAACAGTAAAGATAAAAGTGAATTATAGTTTTCAGGTATTCACTATGCAGTGTTGATTATTCAATATCTGTACATGAACAGTCTCTAATGTATATTATTTAATCTTTATTAAAGTTACAAAACATTTCTTGTGGCCAGATGTTTTTAAATGAGAATATTTGAGAAATATTGAAATGTTCACAAAGGCACAGGCTTTAAAGATTTACTCCAAGATTAAAATGTACTCACGATTTACTCTTCTCTTTTTTCAATACTATAGAAGTTATTAAATTATATTATTTTTGCGTCCATTTAAAAAAAAAAACGCATGCAGATGATAAACTTTCACTCAGTTATGATTAAACTCTATATTAAACTATAATCCCAACATGGCAAATCTTGCAATGTGACTTGCAGATGCACACATTACAATATCAATGCTGAAACGAAATATTTAGCAGCCCTAACTTATATATAGTTGTCTTTACTACTTTTCTGTCCTTGGCCAAAAACTTGCTCTCACATTGTTAGTGCTGTGTAGACATCATCAAAATCAATTTTAAATAGATATAAAACAAATTCAAACAAAATAGATTGTTGCTTGTTCTATGATATGCTGTAATTTTGAGTGTCATTGTTTTTCTTACTATTTATCATGTATATGTAGGCATCACATGAAACATCACGTCATGAAAATGTACTTAAAAGTTCTGGAAAAGTCTTAAAGTCTTGGAGTTTTTGTAGTAAAAATGTGTATGAACCCTGTTTACTGCTGATAAAGCATTTTTTAGGGTTGGTTGTATCATAATAATGGTATTTATTCTGCCCTAAGAATTATTATCATCATGTATAGGATAAGTATTTAACAACCCATCCACTGAAAACTGCATTTATCTTTATTTTGTTAAAGATTTTTTTTTTGTCACGTTAAAATTAAGAAATCAGTGGTCAATCCCAGATCTAATGTTTACACAGTTGACAGGACTAAATAGACCCTAACGCAGACAGAACCTGTCATCGGAGGAGCTTTAATGAAACGTCACTGTTTCAGTCAGTAATTTCAGCCAAAATTAAGAATTCCCTTTCAGGCGTAACATTTTAAGTTGCTGAAACTTAAATCTGTTGCTAGCTATGTTTCCATTCACCTACTTTAAAAATGTGCATTAAAAAAAACACTCATAACTGAGTAGAATAAACCTTTTTATTCGATAAGAAAAGATTAAACTACGATGGAAACACTTGGACCAAGTAAATTCCAGTATGCACATTAAAGTCATGTGATTCTGTTATAAGAAATCATGTGATGTTAAAAATGTGTGAGAATGGATAAACTGAGCACACTGTAAAATATTAGAAATGTTGTTTTGGTCATTCTAAAACAGCTTCATTATTTCAGTATTAGTGTTATTATATTATTAATGACCTCCAGAAAGGTCAAAAGCGTCTGTGCTCCACTTCAAATGCCACCACGCATTCGTTGCATGTTGGCATACTGTCTTCTAAGGCACATGGCATTTTTATAAATAAAAGCTTGACGTCGATTTTTCCTACCGCCTCAAATTACGTTTTTACTTTGTTTGAATTATTGATTATTTGTTTTTTATGTGATTATTCATGTCTTGCGCACATTTAATTATTTGGATCGAAACATAGCTATTGACAATCCATTCCGATCACTGTATGCTGGAAAATGTTCTTTTCGGACTTCATGGTTTTCCCATATTCCTGTCACTTCCTCCAGAAATTGATCAAAACAAAGATCGCATGTTGGAGATTCTGGAGGGGAAGGGCCTGAGCTTCTTATTCCCTCTCATGAAGCTGGAGAAGGAGCTGCTGAAGCAGATTAAAGCAGATCCTGCCCCGCAGACCATCTACAAGTGGATAAAGGACAACATTTCTCCCAAACTGCACACCGATAGGGGTTTCGTTAACATTCTGATGACCAGGTATGGCTGACTGTTTCTATTGAAGGCGTTTGTTAAAGTTTAGTTGGTGTACAGTTGGTTTAACCTCTCAATTCTCCCAGCTTTTTGCAGTATATTTTCCATGAGATGTATGCCACTGATGATGAAGAGCAGTTATCTGCGCCTACGAAAGAGCAGCTTGACCAGGAGAAGCAGCTGCTCCTTGCCTTCAAACCGGTGATGCAAAAATTCCTGCATGATCATGTGGAGCTGCAAGTCAGTGCTCTCTATGCACTGCAAGTCCACTGCAATGCACATGCTTTTCCTAAAGGTATGTAAACGCTTTTAGATAAGAAATTGTGAATTATTATTATTATTATTATTATTTTTAATATACATTAGTTTTGTGATGTAGATGAAAAAAAAATGATTTTGAAGTTATTCTTATATTATTTCAATATAAATGTATATATTTTCAATTTGTTACTATCAATCTGTAGTACAAGTAGTGGTTAGATTTAATTACTAAAGTGTTCCTTATACATTTTATGGTACTAAAGTGAATAAAATCGATTGGTCTGAATGTGAAAACAGTCAAATTTGTTTAGAGTATTTTAAATATGGATTTTTATTTTTTTTTTTATCCCACGTCATTTCTGTAGGAATGTTACTGCGCTACTTTGTCAACTTTTATGATATGGAGATAATTGAAGAAGAGGCCTTCCTAGCATGGAAAGAAGACATTACCCAGGAGTTTCCCGGGAAAGGGAAAGCATTGTTCCAGGTAAAGAGCAACATGTTCAGTCCTCTGACTGCAGTAATCAATGACAGCCTTTCACCAGGGATCCATTCTTTTGTGTGTGGATTACTCTGTCAGCTGCATTTTGTTATTGAATTAAGACGATCCAGAATAGATATTCATATACATTCATCCAGGAGTATCCATCCATGAGTAATTATCCTGGATCATAGATGGATGGATGCTGACCAAGAGTTATGGAGTTAAAGTTGATTAAACGAACCGTTTTCGTTGAACTTGCGAACAAATTTAACGTAGAACTTGCAAAAATGGATTTGAGGCGATTATCTCCGAAACGCATTGACGTATTCATACCAAACTTGGTGTGTGGTATGACAACCATATTCTGAGGTTATCTGCAGTGTTTTGATGCACTGCCCCCTAGTGGTCTGAAGATACAAAAGAATACCTTTTATATCTTAATATAAATAAAGAATTTTATAACGTCTCAACCCTTTTCCAAATCTCATAAAACTGGCCTCTTTACATCAGGCAGAGCATGTAGAGTTGAAGGATGTCTAATTTTCCCAGGTCAGCCATTTTGGGAGTCAGCCATGTATATTTTTGTAAAAAAAAAAATACTGTATTTTGTAAACATATTCGCGTATAATTACAAAATATGGTATGCATCTTCGACACCATACCTTGGCTGCGTCCGAAACCGCATACTTCCATACTACACAGTATGCTAAAAAGAGTATCCGAGCAGAGTAGTATGTCCAAATTCATAGAATTCGAAAATCAGTATGCGAGAAGTACCCGGATGAATTACTACTTCCGGCGAGATTCTGAAATGCTCATCCCATGCACGCTGCGCTATCCCATGATGCCCCGCGAGAGAATTCATGAATGGAAGTGAAGCGACGCAACTGGTAGTTGGGTCGGGTAGGTCACGTGACCATGACAAAATGGCGGATGTAGTGTGTCCGAATTTCATTCATACTTTTCAAATCCATACTGTATAGAACGTACTTTTCTAACGGCTGAGTAGTACGTTTAAATTCAAATGCTGTACCTACTGAGTAGTAGGCGGTTTCGGACGCAGCCCTTGAAGTTACTCAATCTTCTGGAGCAGCACCACCTTGTGGCCTCAAGCAATATAAAAATGCTAATGACTTTTTCTAAACTTTCCTTTTTGACATGATACTTGCACTTCTCTTGTTGTTCCCTGGATCATGCAGACCATTGATACCAAAAATGCCAAAATCAATTAAACTTCCTGTCCGCCGTTTTGCTTTAGAATTAAAACCTTTTTTTTTTTTTTAACTCCTAGACCGTTTTTCTGAATATTTTTATTTATTTATTTTTTTTTTTACTAAATTTTACTCCGATGTTCTTAAGACCATGCTGGCAAAAAGTTTTGGAACCCGTGTAGGTAGATAGACAGATGGTCGGTCGGTCATTGTTCTCATGACAACAGGCCTGTAAGATCAAACCTGTTCGGGAGCATTTTATTTCATATAAACAGGATTACATTGTCATGATCACTAGTCAGATCTGCCATTATTTGTAACTTTCTAAACTTTGGTAGGTTCTAAAACTAAATCTGTCAGTGTTTACATTCTCTCGTATTCAGACCTTTACATTTTCACGGCTGTAGCTCCCTGTCATCGGAACCGAATGATTGACAGCTGATATTAAGCAATCCATTCACGTTCTGTTCTAGTGCAGTGGGCCAATAAGAAGAGCTTGATTGAGGGGCAAGCATTGCGGGCTTAGTTTAAAACAGTTGACATGTCAACTTGCTGCAGTAAACAATTCCTCATCGCTGCGTTTGGCATTTTAGGTGCAAAGATGCTTAATGCCTCCTAAAGCCTGGTTTATACTTTTGCATCAAGTGACTGGCTTAACTCACGGCGCAGGCAATGCGCGTAACTGTGCATTTATACTTCTGCGCGCTGTCTCTCTTGGTCTGCATTAACACTTCCGAAACGCTAGTTGGCAGTGAGGTGTAAATGTTCCTCTGTGTCGAGTTTCTTCGCTTCTGTTTTGCGTTTCCTGAACACTTCCTGGGTGTACAAGTGACTCAAACTCGCTCATTTTGAGGCAGGAACCGGCAGACATGCAACAACTTTAACTATGAGGTAAACACAAAACAAAACTTTCCATCCGGAGATCCTTCACGGGACTCCACACTTGTAAACAATCACTACATCGGGCTCGCGCCATTCGTGCGGCTCTCGGTCCCGCCCAGACTCGTCAGCGCTACCAAGCCGACCAATCACAGAGCTTGCGCTACGCGTTGTTGCGAAGTGTAGTTACATTTTTTGAGAGGTGCATGTCAGTGACGGCGACGGCCACGGCGATGGGCTATGCATCAGCGCCGTAGCATACGCCGGCGTTTGACGCAGAAGTATAAATCAGCCTTAATTCCACGCATGTGGTGAACATTTTGGCTGTAAAAACTGGCCCCACGGCATCAGTTTTATCCACTCGAACAAATGCTCTCAAATATATTTTGGGGTCGCATGGATAAAATTTCGGACCCATAAGCAACAAACGGTCACAATTTTGAGCCCTGTGAAATTTTATTATAACAAGATCTATATCGCTGAATTAAAAAAAATATCCAGATGTTAGATTTTTCTGATATCGTGCAGCCCGTAGATGGATGAATGGGTATCAGAGTGCTCAAAAATGGGTGGATGGAAACAACTATTGACACAATCCCTGTTCCTGTTGTTCAGGTGAACCAGTGGCTCATGTGGCTGGAGACTGCAGAAGAGGAGGAGTCCGAGGAGGAAGCTGACTAAACAACCAGCCAAAGCCTTCATCCATTCTTTCTCTCCCCTTTCACCTGTGTTTACTGCCGCACTTCATTCCGTGCCGCTGTTTTCTGCAGTGTCAAGCCAACGTATTACTTCACGCTTCTCTTTGGCCTCATCGTTTAAGCATGTAATGACTAGCATCTGTTAAACCCACCACAGATAAACGGTATTAGCAGCTTTAAAACTGCATCTCTTTTTGTTTTGTTTTTTTTATTCTACATTTTAAGAAACCTGTATTTGCAAGAGCCTTTTCTGCTGCTGTTCCTTTCAGCACAAAACTCTAGAAATGCACTTTTGCTCAGTGTCATATTTGAGTTGCTGCAATATATATATTCACTTTTGTTTGTTAGAACGGATCCTCAGTCATCATCGGTTACCGTAATGTTTAGTCGATGCTTTCGTACCTCACAGTACTGGGTGTTTATTATGCTGTGTGTAATGGAGTCATGAAAACTCGCTCCATCTGCAAGGTGCTTGAATCTGTGGAGAAAAAAAAATATGGTTTACTTTTGCTGTTATTTGATTGTACTTCTTTCTTTTTTTTCCTTGCCCTCCCCTCCTGTTTCTTAATAATAATGAACAAAGCCATGTGGGAGAGATGAATTATGCGGCCTTTTTCTTTCGTTTTTCGTCCCCCTCTACTACTTGTCAAGCTGATACTTGAATTATTGTTATTTTTCTTTACAGCATGTTCAGGGATTACCAAACACAGCCTGTTTAGATGCAACGATTTGATCCAGACAGAAATGTGTCTCTTTTTAAATGCATTTTAATTGGAAAAAAAAAATAAAGATGAAACGAGATGAGAAATTTGGTATGGATGTTCAATTTCTGAATTGTGGTTTTACAAACTTTGTGTGCCCATGATGTCTGTATTTATTTAATCATGAGGGGGAAAAAAATTAAAGCTTTATCATTAGGTAGGAGCCGCTCTCGTGTGGCGTCTGTACGATGATTTGCTATTCAAAAAGTGTTACTGTATGGTGTACGAGCTCAGAATGTTCAGTGTACCACTGTTGCTTTCAATAAAGTTACACACCAGCATTTATTTGGCCTTATTTCATGTGTTCTTTTGTATTAATATGTGGAACAAAGAGCATTCGTCGTATCAGCAACCTTACACTTATTGTATGTCATATTCTTCATTAAAATTAAGCTTATTATTATTATTATTCTGGGGACAATTTTCAACTTGTCAGATCTATAAGATGACATTTTAAAGCCTCAATGTCGAGTCCGGTGTTTGAACACTGAGCTCTGTTTTTCTTCTGTATGCTTGGGTTGTGGTTGGTTGGCACTAAATAGTGACATTAATAATGAATATGCAGTGATTTTTCAGTGTTTCTCAATCTTCAGGAATGGAAAAAAAAACGATGATCAGAAATGAAATCTACAAACATGTTATGGTTATATTAAGTAGAAATATAGTTACTGAAATGGTAAACGAGGCGCTCATACAAATGATGCTTCACAGTGTAATTTTGAAAGTTAATTTTTCCTCTAGTTCTTCTGTAATCCTCATTTGTTTTGTGCAATGCTTTCCGTAGGTAGGCTTTTATTGTATTATTGATGCCATGTTGGAAACATTTTCTAATAAAGTGTGATAAAAAAAATAATCCAAAGAATTGTCGACTCATGGGTTATGTTGTGTTTTTGTTAGTTCAAAAAAAAAAAAAAAAAAAACCTCAGAAAAAACAAACTCGTTTCACAGTTTATGCGGTCAGATGATGTGTTGCTACATGTCAGTGTTGTTATTCTAGTGTAATGCTCATTGTAAACTGTAAAACTTTATGTAATGTTTCAAGGCTTATAATAATAATAAAGTAATAATACAAATTCAGATATATAGGGGGGAGGGGGAGTGTTACAAAATAATGTAATTATATATATATATATATATATATATATATATATATATATATATATATATATATATATATATATATATATATATGAGCAATATCACACTCGTAGCAGTGCGATATGGCTGTATATCGGCACTGGTGGGAGGCGTGCGAAGGCACGAAGCCGCAGGCCGAGTGCCTTAGTGCCCCAACCAGTGCCGATATACAGCCATATCGCACTGCTACTTGTGAGATATTGCGTTTATACAACAGTTTGACGGCATAATTGTGTATATAAAAACAAAAACAAACATGGAGTGTCTCAACAACCCTGTTGTATGAGGAACTACTTTCTTCCGCGTTGGATTCAAATCATAAGCTGACAGTTAAACAGCTGAGCGTGCATCTTTTAAACTTTAGATCTGTAGTGTCTGCTTTTTGCTGGTTGTATGTGGGCGGAGTAATACACAAAGGGTAAAGAGGCTGTACGGGTGCTGATATTACTTAAATATATCCCGGCTATCAGCCAATCAGATCAGGACAATTTAGCCAACCCAATTCACCTATAGTGCATGTCTTGGACTGTGGGGGAAACTGGAGCACTCGGAGGAAACCCACGCGAACGCAGGGAGAACATGCAAACTCCACACAGAAACGCCAACTGAGCCGAGGTTCGAACCAGCGACCTTCTTGCTGTGAGGGGACAGCACTACCTACTGCGCCACTGCTTCGCCCCATTATTTATTTTGAGTTAGGAATCATCTGATTGAAGAGTCGATCGTGAGCTGATGCGGGAACAGCTGAGAACAATCATAAGCACGTGATCCTCTCGAAATTAGTTTATAAATAAACCTCACTTAAAATCAATCAAATCCAAAACAAAGTCTTCTCAAAAATTCTGTTTCAAAATATTTTATTCAAAGGTTATTTCATATTGTACACCAACTCTGAACCACAGGGTGTGATTGTCCCTTTAAGACCACAGAGCGCATTAGAAGCTGTGATAATCAACAGAAAGCGTTTCATTTTATACTCAAAAGACTGAACGACAAAAGAAAACGTTCTCGTTGGAAAAATAAAACAACAACAAAAAAAACTCCGGAAACATAATTCGAGAAGACACACGACTACATACGCTACGATCCGACCATTACAAGAATTTTCTGTTTTCTTTGTCCTGAATTTAGTCACTGTCCTCATCGGATCCCCTGTTGGAGGCCTCGTTGTTGGACCCGGAGTCATTATCAGACCTCTGTGGAGAGCCTTCGTTCTCGGACCCGCGGTCAGATGCAGCGGCGGCCGGAGACCCGGCAGGAGATTCGTCATCAGAGGCGTCAGAGCGGCTCTTCTTGCTCTCGTTGTCAGACTGCTCTGAATCAGACTGTGGCCGTGGTCTCCTCCTCTTCACGGGCCGTTCGCTGCCGGACTCGTCGTCTGAGTTTGCGGAGCGCTGGGGAGGGCTGCCCGCCTCACTGCCTGACTGATTCCGGTCTTCATTTGAATCGCTGTCAGAGACGATGCGTTTCCTGGGGGCTTCCTCGTCATCAGAACCGGAGCCGCTGTCTCTGGCGTTTCTGGACAGAAAAACAGACATGTAAAGAGCGGTTATCATATTTTACTTCTGTGTTTTTGATGTATCACACAAAGTGATTATGTAATATGGAAACAGCATCATAATTCAACTAGATGTTAAAGTTTGAGGACAAACTTTATGGTGGCTTAAAAAGCCGAGTTTAAAAGTTTCAAGTCGTTTTAAAGTGTAAATAACTGAAGTAGTTTTTATGAAGTTTGAAACAGTCGGCATAGATAAGTACATACATGCTAACATGTTTCTAGTATAGATTGGCATGTTTCTTGGTTGATAGGGAGTTCTGAATGGTTGCTAAAGCGTTGCTAGGTTGTTGCTTAAGTATTCTGAGTGGTTGCTAGGCAGTTGCTAACATGAATTAGCATGATTCTAGCATGAATTAGCATGTTACTAGCATGATTTGGCATGTAACTAGCATTATTCTAGCATAAATTAGCATGTTGGTAGCATTATTCTAGTATGTATTAGCATGTTGTTAGCATGATTCTAGCATAAATTAGCTTGTAACTAGCATGATTCTAGCATGAATTAGCATGTTGTTAGCATGATTCTAGCATGAATTAGCATGATTTTAGTATGAATTAACATGTAACTAGCATGATTCTAGCATGAACTGTCATGTTGTTAGCATGATTCTAGCATGAATTAGCATGTTGTTAACAAGATTCTATCAGGAATTAGCATTTTACTAGCATGATTCCAGCCTGAATTATCATGTAACTAGCATGATTCTAGCATGAATTAGCATGTAACTAGCATTATTCTAGCATGAATTAGCATGTTGTTTGCATGATTCTAGCATGAATTAGCATGTAACTAGCATTATTCTAGCATGAATTAGCATGTTGTTTGCATGATTCTAGCATGAATTAGCATGTAACTAGCATGATTCTAGCATGAATTAGCATGTTGTTAGCATGATTCTAGCATGAATTAACATGTTGTTATCATTATTTTAGTATGAATTAGCATGTAACTAGCATGATTCTAGCATGAACTATCATGTTGTTAGCATGATTCTAGCATGAACTATCATGTTGTTAGCATGATTCTAGCATGAATTAGCATGTTGTTAACAAGATTCTATCAGGAATTAGCATTTTACTAGCATGATTCTAGCATGAATTAGCATGTAACTAGCATTATTCTAGCATGAATTAGCATGTTGTTTGCATGATTCTAGCATGAATTAGGATGTAACTAGCATGATTCTAGCATGAATTAGCATGTTGTTAGCATGATTCTAGCATGAATTAGCATGTTGTTATCATGATTTTAGTATGAATTAGCATGTAACTAGCATGATTCTAGCATGAACTATCATGTTGTTAGCATGATTCTAGCATGAATTAGCATGTTGTTAACAAGATTCTATCAGGAATAAGCATTTTACTAGCATGATTCCAGCCTGATTTATCATGTAACTAGCATGATTCTAGCATGAATTAGCATGTAACTAGCATTATTCTAGCATGAATTAGCATGTTGTTGGCATGATTCTAGCATGAATTAGGATGTTGTTAGCATAATTCTAGCATGAATTAGCATGTTGTTAGCATGATTCTAGCATGAATTAACATGTTTTTAGCGATTCTAGCATGAATTAGCATGCTACTAGTACAATTATAGCATGAATTAGCATGTTACTAGCATGTTTCTAGCATAAATTAGCATGTTGTTAGCAAGAATTAGCATGTGCTAGCAAGGTTAGCATGTCAGTAGCATGTTAAAACTACTAGCATGTGTTAGAACAGCTAGTCATAGTTTATAAAACAGTTGCTAGTTTGCTGAAATTGGTTGATAGGGTGTGGCTAGTAAGTCTAAAGGTCATCAGTGATTGGCTGCTGGCTAGACTGAGTTGACTGAGGCCAGACTCAGAAGTCTAGTCTGTAGCAGAAGAAGAAGAAGAAGAGGAACAAGAAGCAGCAGAATAATAATAAGTTTAAGATTACAGTATGCCATAATAATAGATGATACAAAAATAAATAAAAATGACAAAAATGTACATTAAAGACAGTTTTTAAAGACAAATTTTTGTTTAATATAAATAATTTTGTAATTGTAATAAATAAACATTGTGTACGTTCATTTTTAGGAAGATTTCTACACATATTTTATGAATCAGACCCAAGGCATTTACCAACAGCAATAATAAGCCTTTTCTTCATTTTGACATGTTGCATGAAGTTGATTGGCTAGTGTCCGCACTAGTATATTTGCATAAAGAAACCTGGCTAATGGTCAGTGTAGCCAGATATAGCTGACTTTTTCCTGTCCAAAAACGGTTTAAAACTCGCTCAAACGCACAAAAATAACCCCCAAAACTAAATGAATAATTTATTTAATTTTAGTTTATTTAAATAAGAAATTAGCCTAGTTACTTTACCTGTCATCATTTTAGCCATACAGCAACCACAAAATCACAAACTTACAAAGTAAAATTACATCATAACTACATGCATGAATTAAATTCTTTCCGCAAATTATTTACAATTGCTTAAAAATTGCACCATATAGACTTGCTTTAAAATGGTTGAGCGAATATTGGTGTAAATAATTATATTTAATCATATACATGAATATTTTCCCAGAGATGGGTTGCGGCTGGAAGGGCATCCGCTGCGTAAAAACTTGCTGGATAAGTTGGCGGTTCATTCCGCTGTGGCGACCCCGGATTAATAAAGGGACTAAGCCGACAAGAAAATGAATGAATGAATGAATGAATATAATCATGAGCCAGAGCGTTTGCGCTCATATTATTATGGCTGTTCTGAATGCCTTTAACATGTTGAACAAAAGCGCATCTGCAATTAGGTCATTCTTTCCCTGTTCTCAGTTCCCATGCAGACTCACTGGCCAGACATTGGGCAGAAAATAATAATAATAATAATAAAAATAAATAAATAAATAAAAGCTAAAAAATAAGTCAACGTTTTGTTATGTGGAGACCACAAAAAAATTAAGCCGTTATCACGAGAAAACAACTTTTTCTTATGTGGAAAAAACGAGTTAAGTCGAGATCACGAGATAATTAAGCTGTGATCACGACAAAACAAGAGAAATAATTACTTTAATGCACAGCCTCTTAGGACTTCTGTATACATCATAGTCTTTTAAAGTTTCATACATAACTTGCTTTCAACCAAACCAGAAAAATATTTGGAAAAAGATGCATTTCTCTGCAAAAACGAGTTATGTCGAGATCACGAGATAATTAAGCTGTGATCATGACAAAACAAGAGAATAATAATAAGTAGTTAGTTGCTGCATGCAAGAATTAAATCCTTTCCGCAAATGATTTACAATTACTGTAAAAATCGCACCATATAGACTTGCTTTAAAATGGTTGAGCGAATATTGTTGTAAATAATGATATTTAATCATATACATGAATATAATCATGAGCCAGAGCGTTTGCACATATTATTATGGCTGTTCTGAATGTCTTTAACGTGTTGAACAAAAGCGCATCTGCAATTAGGTCATTCTTTCCCTGTTCTCAGGTCCGATGCAGACTCACTGGCCAGAAAAAAAAAATAATAATAATAATACATAAATAAATAAATAAAAACAATAATAATAATAAATAAATAAATAAATAAAAGCAAAAAAAAATGTTTGTTATGTGGAGACCACAAAAAAATTAAGTTGTTATCACGAGAAAACTTTGTTATGTGGAAAAAACGAGTTATGTTGAGATCACGAGATAATTAAGCTGTGATTACGACAAAACAAGAGAAAAAATTACTTCATTGCAGGACCTCTTAGGATTTTTGTATATGTCAAATCATGGTCTTTTAAAGTTTTATACATAACTTGCTTTCAACCAAAAGCTCCAAAAAATATTTGGAAAAAGATGCATTTCTCTGCAATCTCCAAAATAAACATGCAGATGCAAAATAAATGTGTGAAACTTTAGTTCATGTCATCTGAAAGCAAGCATGAGGAGCGTCTCTCACCTGTCTTCTGCTATTTTCAAGCCGTCCTCATCAGAAGAGGAATCAGAGGATGAAATGATGGCTTTAGACTTGATCTTTCCTTTAAGTGAAGGTGGCATGCGCTCTGGCTTGGGCTTGAGTTCAAAAGAAAAAAAAAAACACATTAGGACTCTCATCATTCAAGTTGCATATTATCCATATCCTCCATATTGCATGTTACCTTCTCAATCTTCTTGCGCTCTCTGGGTTTGCGCTGCTTTTTAGGCCTTGATCCTCCTTCCTCATCATCTGAACCATCGTCCTCTCTTTTATTTGGTCTAAAGAAGCACGAGAAATAATCAAACTCAAACTTACAGTCAGTTCACAAACACTACAGTTCAATTGTCATCAATAGCTCAGATTTGTCAGCCGAATAACTGCACCAAGATATCGTTAAACATGATGATAACCAGAGCTTTACATTAACGTTAAATGCAGGTAGATTTCGGCTGTGACGGGTTAGACAGCCACTCCCACTAGCCACTTTGGCTGCCTAAAACTTATTTTTAAATAGCCAGTTTTGGCTCGTCGTCACTACAGATTAGATTGTTAATGCTGATTTATACTTCTGCGTCAAATGCCGGCGTATGCTACGGCACTGCTGCATAGCCCTTCGCTGTGGCCGTCGGCGTCGCTGACATGCACCTCTCAAAAAATGTAACTACACGTCGCAACGACGCGTAGCGCAAGCTCTGTGATTGGTCGGCTTGGTAGCACTGACGAGTCTGGGCGGGACCGAGAGCCGCTTGAATGGTGCGAGCCTGATGGAGCGATTGTTTACAAGTGTGGAGTCCCGTGAAGGAGCTCCGGATGGAAAGTTTTGTTTTGTGTTTACCTCATAGTTAAAGTTGTTGCACGTCCGCCGGTTCCTGCCTCAAAATGAGCGAGTTTGAGCCACTTGTACATCCAGGAAGTGTTCAGGAAAAGTAAAAAAGCAGTGAAGAAACTCGACACAGAGGAACATTTACACCTCACTGCCAACTAGCGTTTCGGAAGTGTTAATTCAGACCAACAGAGACAGCGCGCAGAAGTATAAATGCACAGCCACGCGTGTTGCATGCGCCGTGGGTTACGCCGATCACTTGACGCAGAAGTATAAATCAGGCTTTAGCTTATTACCGTTTGTCAATATGCGTGCAAATGTGATCTTCGAATCGAGAAGCAGCACGACGGACAAAAACAGCTTTTCGAACGAGCAGAGGATGGCAGGTGAATAACGAATGAGAGGATCACGCGCATGATGAGAGGCTTTCCTCACTCACTGACAAGGGCTTTATGCCTCATTTCCACTGACTGGTACAGTACGGTACAGTTCGGGTCGGTATGGGTCACCTATATCAGGCTTGCGTTTCCACCATAAAGGGTACCCTTTTGGTGGGCGTGGTGTATGACAAAGTTTAAGTCGACGTCATGCTCGCTCGAATAAATGTCTACAGTAAAGCTGTACGGGTCGCTTACATATCATATGAGAAGCACGTCTCACAAAACAGATGCTTTATACACATAAATACTTGTTTATAAATGTTTATAACAAACTTTTCTATGAACATGATTTGATTATAACAGCAGATCAATGACAGTGCGAAATAGGCTACTGTAACGTCTGTAATTATATAAAATAAATACATAAATGCAACATATATGAACAGATACAGCCTCTTACAGTCTCCGATATATTAATTACAGAAAAACTACACACAGCAAACATTTAGTACTTATTTGAGTAAGACACATGCAATATAGCCCACAGTCAGCGCAAACCTCTCATCTGTGTCTGTAATCTTCACCAGCACATGTTAGAGAGGAATTTTGTCATTCCCAGTTCAAAATAATCCAAAAGGCGAAGATAAACACGGCAGTTTGTTCATGATTCAGGTTGCTAAAACAATTTTGCTCCTGTTTTGACGGCTTCCCTTTTTTTTCCACGTTTCACTCCCGCTTCACTCTCGCGCTTGTGCTTTTTTTTCTGAATGGATCAGATGACAGAGACACTTCAGTAATCACACACACGTTATTATCATCAGCTCAAGAAGTTTGTTATATCAAATATAGAAGCGATCGTGAGCTTCTGGAAGAAAGCGAATACCTCTCGCACTTTTAGACGGGCTCGTAAAACAACAACAGGACACGGCAGATTTTTCTTCTTGGCTTTGTGTCTGTTCATCGAGACGACGACAAGGTTTGTTTGAGCCCGGGTCATCCCATTATTATATGCATATAGTATTTCCATGTAATGTCTCGGCTTTGTATTTTAAAAAAAAACATTGCCGTTCCTTTGTTTGCGTTCTGTGAAGCTCCACAAGCTCGTGACGTAACCAATCACCGTTCAGCTGCACGTGAAGCTTCACCTTTTGGTAACCTTTCTCCCGTTTGGTACCCTTTCGAAAGGGTGCAGAAAAAGTGGTACGGTACGGTCGTTTCCACTGTCAAAAAGCGTACCAAACCGAACCATACTGTAACACTCAGTGGAAACGGGCCATTAGGGTCGCACACAGATGATTTGATTTGCGAATGTTTAAAAGCTCCTGTGTTGTTTTCTCACTTGAAGCAACCGTGCCTGGAAACGAAACTAGTGCGATGCTCGTGCACTCACTTTCCTTCAAGGGCTTGAGATACTTTGTGCGCAGCAGCAGTTGTTGTTGCTTTAGCATTAACCATTCTTTGAACAGATTATTAATTGGCCTAACATTAACCGTGTGCGCATCATCATCCTTTCACTAAAGCGCACAGAATGTTTTTACCCGCTTTCTTTTGTTGCTGTTATTTTTTTTATATAGTTTAATAATCATCCTTTACAATAATATTGCTTTAATATGCTGTTGTATGCATAGTAAACTGGTGATCTGGGATCTTAAACCTGAACAGACCACTGTGCATAGTTTTGGATACGTGAGAATTTTTATTTTTTAAATGTCAGCTGTTTTGTCGAATAAAAAGTGTATGTATATAGCAGTATTTTGCTTGTTTTGACACATTATTTAAAATTTGTGGCTAGGAAATAATTAGTTTGGTGTGGCCAGAGAAAAAACAGGTAAATCCTTATTGTGTTGTGTTATTGTGTGAGAGAAATCTAATTGCAATGCGACACTTGTTATCAAAGCATAACCCATTTGCTCATGCTCACTGAGTAAGCTCATAAACAAAAAAACAGTTAGGCTAAATGATCGAAGAGGCAAGTGGAAAAAACACAAAATCAAAATAAAGTACTTTTAGCATGAAAAAGTCAAATTTCTGCATATAAAATAAAAATTTTCCCATCAACAAAATTGTGGCTAGTGAAAACGGCAAGTGGCTAGTAACGGTGGAAAACTACCGTTTTGATCACTGGTGGCTGGTGATCAAAAAAAGTCCAGCCCTGATGATAACACATGATGAATTCCCACTAATTTAGATGCATCAACCCAAAAATGAGCAATCCATTGGTTTTAGTATTTATTCTAATTGATAGTTATTAAATAGTCAACTGTTCATCGTTAATGATGGTCAGGTCCAATATTAAAATTAAAAGGTCTACTTGTTAATTTAATTTACGCCAATATTAAATTTATTACATAAGCTAGCATCAATAAAAGCATTATTTACTAAAGGGTTACCAAAAAATGTAAATAATACATATTTTATTTATAGATTAATTTAAATAACCTATTGTTATTGAAACAATGACAAACAACAGCACCAAAAAATAAATCAAATAAATCAAAAATTGTATTTTAGTAGTAAAAAAATGACTAAATTGCATTATAGAAGTATTACAAAAACGTATAAACATAAATAAATAAAGATATAGTGTGTAAACATAAAAGTTAGTTAAAAATGTCAACCAAAACTATAAATGTACACAAGTTCCCTGTTCTAAATAACAATTTGTACCACCATATGAACTAAACTGAGAGAAACATTTACCTCCTCCTTTTCTTGTTTCTTGGTTTCTTCTCTCCCTCTTCTCCTCCATCCTCAACCTCACTGCCGCTCTCAGTCCTCCTCTTCTTCTTCTTCTTGATAGGCAGATCCTCATCAGAGTCATCGTTGACAAATTCATCAAAGTCGCCTCCTTTCTTGCGCTAATTAAACAGCATATAAAAATGATTAAGACAGCCGCTATAAGTGAAAACTGACTCCATCTTTAATATCAGGTGTGAACATGGCCTAAATAGGCATTCAGACTGGACATGCCATATGCCTTGCGTAAAGAGAGGCTTGAACATTGACTTTATTCGGTTCATTTGCACATGGAATTCACTTTACAGATGCGAGGTCACTCTAGTTTCGGTGCAAAGTGGCTGATATAGATTTTGTCGAGAGGGTCGCTGTGATTTATGTACTACAGAAAATTGAAAAACCACATGGGCTTGTTTATTGCCATTTCCTTCAGACTAGATGACGGCCGATACTAGAGAAAGCTCCTGGTTAAACTGACATGAATTTTTGGCAAAGTTCAGATTTTTCAACTCAAGCAAATCATATGTTATGTGTGTCAATATGTGCGAACTGCGATGCAAGATATCTATAGCGTCTTTGACTTGCATCACTGACTTAACATGTAAATAACTCGCACTTAGAGTTTCATCCGCGTGTGATGTGAACACACCATAAAATGCCATGTGCCTTGAAGCCAGTTTATACTTTTGCATTAAATGTGGTCGCGAATGGTGCCTTCGCAAAATAACGCCCGATTTACGCGGGGCTTCAAGCGTCAACGCTTGACAGGGCGTGTCTGAAGTTCGAGCCAATGAAATAAGTCTGAAATCGACTACTGTCTGAGCTGGTGCCTTTGCATAAAGCGATCCGATTAGCTGATGTGGCCGTTGGTGCTTGAAAAGTTGAGAAGCTCTCAACTTCTGCAGTAAGCAACTGAAGCAGCGCTGACGGATCCACAATGCAGTTTGGCAACGCCTGACGTCAACCATTCAAAGTGAATGGGAAGCGTTGACGCTGACGCACTGTGTGAATGGGGCATGACTAGGCCCACACAGAATCTGTGCGCGCAGAACTCCGCAGATTTTCCGCAGATTTTTAGCCCATCATTAATTCTGTTTATTTACTTGAGTAAATGTGTGTAAATCTATATTTATTCAATTTTTAAATTAATTTTAGTAATATTACTGACTAATATGACAATGTTCATCTGATTTATGTACAATGTCGTTTGTACAATTATATTTTCTTCCTTTTAGTAGATATAATATTTGATAGACGTGCTTTGTTTACTAAATAAAGTGAATCTAATTGGATTTACATTTTAAACATTAAAGTTAAAAAGATATTATTTTTTATTTCACGTATTACACGTATTATCCACAGAAATCTGCAGATTTTTACCAAAATTCTAATACCAAAAAACGTCCGCAGATTCCGTCTGGCCCTAGGCATAACATATACTTAGCCATAGCCTGACACAGACTCTGACGGCACTTAGGCTACAGCATCAAAATTGCTGGCAACACAGCAAGGCACTGCTCTGGTGCATGTAAAATTTTCTTACGTCGACTGCACTTAACACTTTCTCTATGCCACTTTTAATCCCATAATGCACTGCGTGCTTTGAGCTCATGACATTTGTCATTGAAATAACGCCACAGGTAGTTGGTAGATCTGTGTAAAAGGCCCAGCAGAGTCTGCCGCCACCGCTGAAAGAAAATCCTAGAGGAAACACTGTGAATGCAAGGCCGTCGGGGGAGCGGGGAGCGGGGACAAGCGTGCTTCAGCCCGGTTCAAAGCAACTGTACATAGTGCGAGTACGCCCTAAGTAGCGTCTTAGCGTAGAAACCTAGCTACTGTCAGCACAACACAAACAGAATGCAAAAGTATAAATGCGCGACAACAAGCAAAATATATGCTGTGGGTTATGACGATCATGTGATGCAGAAGTGTGTCATATAAAGTGTGGCCTCTCACCCGTCCGCCGCCTCCTTTCTTCTTGTCCTTTGAGGCTTCTTTCATTCCCTCAAAGTTAAGCAGGTTTCTGGTTCTCTCCACGTACTGCGCTCTCTGCTCCAACAGCTTCTTCTGCTCCTCGGCCTCGCGGCTCTTCCTCTCCTCCTGCTCCTTCATTATCTGCTGCCGCAGCAGGTCTCGCTCCTGCTCCTGCTTGGCTCGGTGCTCCTTCTCCTCCTCGTCTTGTTTACGAGCTCGAGCTACATGGTACTGAGCCTGGCTTAACAGGTCAGAGCACTGCCTGAGAGACAAAACACACGCACACACTGCTGATCAGATCACCGAAACAATCTCAACAGCCTCTGAGAAGTCTTTCTGTCTCATGAAATAAATATTTGCATTACAAAAATATATAGTAATAAAAATATACATGTTCATAATTCCTATTTGTTACAAAAATATATAACTGAATGTTTGTATTTTATAATAGTTAATGACTGACGTAATAATAACATAACGTATTAATGACTAAATTAATAAAATATAGGGTTTATTTAGGGCAGGGCTATTTAATTAGTTTGTCATGGGGGCCAGTTCATAAAAGCATCCCAAAGGAGAGGCCGGAGAGATATGACTTGCAATATAAATGATGACACAACTGCATATAAGAGCCCATATGCTGTATTTTATTAAAAATATGCTGTATTTTATTAAAAGTTCCAAAGGCCCACCTCAAAAGTAGGGTGAACGTGCTTTTGCCATAGCAGGTCCTCGCCTCTGGAACTCTCTGCCATTAGAACTAAAAAAGGCTGCGTTGCTGCCTATTTTTAAGTCTAAATTAAAGACACTTTTATTTTCTAGTCCTTCCCTTTCAGAAGGAGGGGGGAGGGTGATCCAAACGGTCATGTTCTCTAGTGATGGTGAAATGAAGCTTTCTGAACCAGTGAAGCGCTCGACTCAATTGTATTGGAAAAAGGTTCGTTACTCGAAGCTTTCTAAATCAGAGCTCGATGAGGACCTCTTCTGGTGAAAGTGTGGGAAAGCATTCTGTTGCCATAATGTCAAATGTTCACAACTGACCAACTCAATGTAGTAATACAACAACAGCAATATAAACAAATTACTCAATTACTGTAGTTTTTACACATAAGATATATTACATTACTGATGACTGTAGTTACATCCAAGGTATTCAAAAGTTTATCATATTACAACTAATCCTGTTCCAAGTGGGGATCGAACCAGCGACTCCTGCATGGGAGGCGAATGCTTTAGGAGGAGGCTATGTGAGTGATGTGTTTGGGCGATATTCGCTAGCCGGTCTCTGTTAAACACTATACTACGATATGCAGTGGTTTTCTTTAAAGATAGTTGTAAAAAAATACGATAATACACTTTAGTATGGTACAAAACCTTTTTACTATAAATTACTATTGTATTTTAGTTGAATTACTGGTGTGTGGGACCGGTGCAGTGCTTTGAAACAGTAGAAATGTATGTAATCGACGCCTAATCTCTTGCTATACACTTTACTAACCCATGAGGGTGTTTAAACCTTTGAATCAAAATTCGAAGCAGTCACGTGGGTATAGGCGAAAATGAAGCTTCGGACGTCACTGATCACGTGATGATGGCAAAACTAATCAAGCTCTGGTACACTGCTTCACTGCGAGATGAATCGTTTTTTTGATACATGCTTCGAAGCCTCGGCACACAACGTCACATAACTAATGTTCTCTATCGTGTTTAGTATCGGTGAGCTGTGGTAGCATATTTAATTGGGAAAAAATATTTTATTATTATTATTATTTATTTTTATGTTGCTCTTTTATTGATTACCTTTCTATGTTCCTTCCTATTATGTGTTTATTGCTGTTTTTACTGTTTTATGCTCATATCATGTGTTTATTTTCTCTCTGTAAAGCACTATGTGCAGCCTTGTGGCAGTTGGAAACGTGCTATATAAATAAATAGAACTTGAGCTTGAACTATTTTTGCTTCTTAAGACACTCACTTTGGCTTTTTCTACATTAAAATGTTAATATGTTGTATTTTTAAACTACATAACATCACGGCATTGTACAATGTGGCTTTTTTTTACAAATATATTCAAAAGTTGTAATTTTAAAGCACAACAAAAGCAGTAAATTGCTCAAGCAGGCCAAAGAGCATAGAATGACCAAGAGGCGACATTCTAGTGCGATTTGGGAAACAGCCACTAGATGGCGCGGTGGCTATTTTGGAATAAAAATTCCAATTGAACAGTAGTATAATATAAGTCTGTAAAATAAACTATTAAAAGTGCTAATGATTGTGATGGTAAGTGTTGTATTGTCGTCTTTTAGGTTGTATCTCAGCTTTAATGCAATTTTTAAATAAATAAAAAAAAAAAACAAAGCAGCTGCTTGCCATCGCGACAGCAATAAGATCCAATGGACAGCCGATTGCTTTCACTCCAAAATGTTAAGCATAAAAAAGTAGCTAGAAGTATAAAAAGAAAATGTAAATCAATAAACCCCTAAATCTAAATTTTAATACCACAATATTACTAATATAGTATAACAACAAAAATATGACACATTGTTATTTGCAGCAATCTATGAACCACTTATGTGATTTTATTTACATAGAAGCCATATTAAATGCAATTACATGGTAATGTTTCAGATAATATCATTTATTACAGTGTTCCCTTGCCATAACAGTTCACCTTTCACGGCCTAGCAGTTTCGCAGATTTTTTGGTACAATTTACAACGTATTGTGTTCTGCATCCTGATTAGCGGACTGTGTTCTATGTCCTAATGCTCTAAATGTTCTGTGTCCTGATTGGCTGTAGACCTTGTGTGACTCTGTACTGTTTTTTGCAAGTTTTCTTCCCAACAAACTCCACAATGTCAACAAAACATTCTGCACTGTCGAAGGCACCTGTGGTAGCACCCAAAAGGCGATAGAAGATGCTAACTATACTTCTGCTACATGCTAAAGGAAGGTAGAAGTTATGGAGCTGTAGAGCGCCATTACGGAATAAATAAACCTTCTCAAACAAATGGCTGGACCTGACAACAGGTTTTGATCTTTGGTTTCATTCTATAATACTGGACTTATTTTTCTATGAAGGTTTGAACTTTGAGAGTGTTTAAACAAAAAAGACAAATGAGAAAATGTTAGAAAAAATGTTGCGAAAATGTTGAGAAAAGTGTTGAAAGTGTACAGTGAGGGGTTTTACAGCCTTAAAACACCTATAATAATTCTAAAAAATAAATCTGAATTCTTTTACCTATTGTGGGTTTTTTTTAGAACATAACTCCCACAATAAACGAGGGACCACTGTACACTGTAATATATTGAAACATAATATAATAAAATAAATTTAAAAAGACTGTGCTTCTTCTGCCCTGTACTAGTTTAAATATGAAAGAATAAACTCTTACAATGAATGATGTTTTAGTGTGTATCCTGTGTAGACTATAGTAAAACTTATGATAATCATTATTTGTTCACAAAAAAATAAATAAATAAATAATTAAACAAGAAACATTCTAAAATTCAGGTGAAAATATTCTATAAAAGCTGAATTGCACTATATATATATATATATATATATATATATATATATATATATATATATATATATATATATATATATATATATATATATTTATACAGTTGAAGTCAGAATTATTAGCCCCCTTCAATTTTTTTTCATCTTTTTAAAATATTTTCCGAATGTTGTTTAACAGAGTAAGGAAATTTTCACAGTATGTCTGATAATATTCTTTCTCCTGGAGAAAGTCTTATTTGTTTTGTTCCAGCTAGAATAAAAGCCTTTTTTAATTTTTTAAACACTATTTTAGGGACAAAATTATTAGCCCCTTTAAGCTATATTTTTTCTCGATAGTCTACAGTACAAACCATCATCATACAATAACTTGCCTAATTACCCTAACCTGCCTAGCTAACGTAATTAACCCAGTTAAGCCTTTAAATGTCACTTTAAGCTGTATGGAAGTGTCTTTAAAAATATCTAGTAAAATATTATTTACTGTCATCATGGTAAAAATCAGTTATTAGAAATGAGCTATAAAAACTATTATGTTTAGAAGTATGTTGAAAAAAATAAACAAGCAGTCTAATAATTCAGGGGGGCTAATAATTCTGACTTCAACTGTATATAAATATATATATATATATATATATATATATATATATATATATATATATATATAACTGTATATAAGTTAGTATTGTCACCAGTCATCAGATTGGCTTATTTTGATGAACCCGTGTCATGACATCTGGCATGAACAAAAACAAGTAATTGTAAAAGGAAAGCAAATGTACCTTGCTTCACTTGCTGCCAGCGCGAGGTCAAACCTCATTTTGTCTCCAGATTTGCTGAGATAACTGAAGTACCTGAGAGAATACCAGAGGGTTATGAAGGAGTCATCTCTAAACTTTGAGCTGTGCATCACCATTGGCTAAAGATCACATACCTGTGAGCCAATTCCAGCTCTTTAACAGCACTCAACACAGCCTTCAGGTTACTCTTCTCATCCTTCAGCACCAGCGTGGCCAATCTCTGCAGCACCAGAGCTACATTAAACATCAGCACGGTGTCATTTGGAGCCACATGACGAGCCTGAGTACAACCACACAAAAAAAAAACAAAAAAAACATATATTTTTTTTAAAATAGGCAGTCAGAAACATCAGTAACACCATATCTCTAGTTGAACTACAGATGTTTTTGGAGGTATAGAACAGAGTTCAGTAACAGGAATAACATTTTTCAACATTTTGTGTATCACATAATAGTTTATTAAAAATATATTTGTGTAATTAAGAAAAAAACTGTGTATTCTAAACATTTTGCATAAATTATTAAGAGAAAAGAATGCGGCACGGTGGCTCAGTGGTTAGCACTGTCACCTCACAGCAAGAAGGTTCCTGGTTCGAGTCCTGGCTAGGCCATTTGGCATTTCTGTGTGGAGTTTGCATGTTCTCCCCGTGTTGGAAATGAATGGAAAATGAATAAATGACTGTTAAGAGAAAAATAATTACATGTTTTCCAGAGTTTCCTGCGAAAGTGACATTACTTGAAGCGTCAAAAATCAGTGCTTTAAAAATTACTTTTTTAACCAATGTAAGAGGGTTGACTAGGGTTGGGTATCACTTGGGGTTATATCGATACCAGTGCTAAATCGGTATTTATAAATTGATACCGGTGCCAAAATGGTGCCTAAACCGATATTTTGATATCAAAAATGATGGTGGATGACTCTAGAAAAATCTTTTATTTGACAAAATCTTTCAAAAAATTATTTTAATAGAACAATATAATTAAAGTTTAAAGTAAACATCAAATCATATTTTATATATTTGAATTACATGAATATATTTCCTTTGATCATTTTTTGGTTAGCATGAATTTGAGATTTGCATTATGAAATTATATTAGCTTATACTAACCTGTGGAAAGGCTGACATCAAAATACTGAACTCCTTTTTTCTAGGGTTGGGGCTTGTGACTATGTTTACATGGTTATCAGTGATCTAATGATGCCTTAATCTGAATAAGACAATGATATTGAAAGTTGCTTTTTGATTGTTACTTTCATGATCCCAACTTACATGTTTTAGTACATACATCGATTTACGTCACTGCATCGTCACGCTATCTGTTTACTACAGATTTTTATGTAATTTCAGGTGTTTCATTTTTAATGTTTTGACTTTAACTGTTTTTCACTTTTTTTTAGGAACATTTCATTCATGCTCCATGACAAACTGAGGTATTTGATTTAAGAATTAGGTAAGGACTGGCGGAAGAGTGCCGTTTTAATAGAATTTGAAACCAAACATTGAATGGAAAGAAAAAGCCTCCGCATTTCGCGACACAGATGTCTGTGGTCTTTTACGGTTCTAAAAAAATAAAAAATAAATAAAAAATCACTGTTTACATGGTAGTCTAGACTCTTAATCAGAGTATTGTCTTAATCATATTAAAATCGGAGCATTGGTGTCCATGTATGTTCTCATTGAAAGTGCCAGATGATGTCGCAAGCTTTCAGAGACAGTGCATTCCTCTGCCTTTAAGTTGATTCCATGTGCCCTCAAATGTGTCATTAAGTTTAATGTGTTTCCCCCTTGCACGTAATTTTTGTAAAGCATCTGCTTCACGTTTCTGTGTCAGAATCCTTGCGTGTAAAATATGCATTAAACCACTTAGTTTAAGCAAATTTGATGAACGTGATCATGCGAGTTGATCTGAAGAGAGTCGCTCTCGCTCACAGAATGCGATGTACTGCGTGCGTCCGTTTCCTAAGCAACAAGAACAAACGGCTGACATCGCCTGTCCGTATACCTCAAAGCTGTTTAGAATTAAATGTTTAGAGATGGTGTGACAAAGCGTACTTATGTGTGCTCTTGATGCACCCCTTGATGCTTCTCACGTCCTTGTCGACAGCACCAGTGGCACTGAAATTAGGCACCAAAATTTATATGCTGATTTGGTTCAGTACATACCGGTTACAAAGGTACCGGTGCTATAATGGCACCAGGTTTCAATACCCAACCCTAAAGCTGACCAGAATGTAGAGAGACACAAACATAGGGTGGAATTACAGAAGTTTTCCAGAAGAGATAACAAAACGGGAGGGTGGTGGGAAATGGGTGGAAAATACAGGATACTCCAGGTAAAAACGGGAGTGTTGGCAGGTATGGCCATACCACCCTGCAGCCCAAGATCGGTTGCTTACTAAAGATTGGCAGGGCTGAGCCTGGTTAGTACCTAAATCCCAGGGCACTTTCTTATAAAGAGTAGCGGTGTAACCCCGGTGTTCTGGCCAAACTTCCTCAATCAGCCCTTATCCATCATGGCCTCCCAGTCATCCCCATCCACCGAATTGGCTGTATCTCCATCTCTCCACTCCACCTATAGCTAGTGTGTGGTAAGCGCACTGGCACCTTTGTCCTGTGGCTGCCGTAACATCATTAATTGAATCTAAATGTATGATTTGGAAGACTGAGACAGTCAAAAATAGGTATAGTGGGAGTCTTTTTTTATAGTCATTTATAACATATTCTTCAAGACAAAATTTCTAAATACACATACAAACATTATTTTTTTTAGAGAGAACAACATAATTTAAATAAATAACAATTATACACTGATTGTTCATTGAAGTTTTAGTTTTTGAAAAACAATATTACAAGGTTTATATAGAAGATGCAAAATATACATGAAGACAATCAAAAATCAAACACACATACATACATGTGATTTAAATAATTAATACTCACCCTCAGAAGAGTCTGTTTGCACTCCTGCAGTTTTCCACATTTGAAGAGCGCTCGGGCCAAATACAGCAGCACTTCTGTGTTCTGATACTTGTAGAACTTCTTCAAGCAGTTTTCATACTGAAGAGACAAAAAAGCAGTCGGTAAGTAGAGGCACACAACAAAACGCCTCTGCATCGATAGGATCAGATGCTTTCTTAACAGCTGCTTTCTCACCACTGTCCTTTCCTGTCTTGTTTATTTTGTTTTAAAGATGATACACCACCGACAAAAACATTGTGGCCATATTCTCAAAATGAGAATATATGAGCCATAAATGTATTTAGAGTTGTATTTTGCTGCTTTAATGTATATGAAAACACAGGCAGCAATTAATATAATACTCTGCATAAACAGAGGAGTTGTTAAAGTTTACGGCTGTCCTTTCACCACCAAAAAAAACACAGAAAGAGGGGAGTGATATGACATCAGATTACATGTGCCTGCTGCCTCATTACAAACATACCAAGCAAATATCACAATATACATGTTAAAGTAATACGGTTGAGCAGACTTCATGCATCTTTTAGGGGACATTGAATAAACTTAAAATCAATGTTTTTAGATTTTTGCTTTCTGACGACAATCTGTGATGAGATAAGATACTGCATGCCTTGTTGCAATACCTGGGAGCTCTATACTGCTGGTCTTTTTTTCAAAATAAGAGTAACACATATATATAGTAATTATAAGCTTAGATGAACTTTAAAATAAGTGGAATTTTTTATTCTTGTAATATCACAACTAGAAAACATTTCGGCCAATCAAACGCAGCCATTACAGTCGGATTTTACACAGTAGGATTTACATGAGAACAAGAAAACAATGGTGATTGATGTGTGAGATTCAGTCGTTTTTATGTACTGAACTCTTAATGTAGCTTTGACTTGGTACAGTGGGGGAAATAAGCATTATACACATCACCTTTTTTTCTCAGAAAACATATTTCTAAAGGTTCTGTTGACTTGAAATTGTCACCAGATGTTGGTAACAACCGAAGCATTATATTCAAAGAAAACAAAACTAATTCGTTAAAAACTAATTAGACCTGTCCTCAGGTCTTTACACTGGCTCCCAGTTACATTCAGAATAGACTTATTATTATTACTTATTATTAGTATTATTACTGGTCTATAAATCACTAAATAGGATTTATAGGCCTAGGACAGGGGTCAGCAACCGGCGGCTCTAGAGCCGCATGTGGCTCTTTAGCGCTGCCCTTGTGGCTCCCTGGAGCTTTTTCAAAAATGTTCAAAAAGATGGGGAAGGTTAGTATATATTTTTGTTTTAATATGTTTTCTATTGGAGGACAAACATTTTTTTACGTTTTCAAATGCTGTAAAAGTGTGTAGAATTAATATTTAATTTCAACATTTTTGTCAACGAAGATTTGCGTCATAGCCTGCGACACAGGTTTCTATCAACAGGGCGGGATGCCAGGCAGGTGGATCAAATGATCAAATTAATACCACTGAAGGACCAGAGGCTGTGCTGAAGTGTTTAAATGACAACGAAATAAACACCAACCACCTGATTTCAGTGACTATTTAATCATGAAGGCTCATTATGTATTTGTAGCCAACTTAGTTATTTTTATAGTAGGCTAATATAGCTACTATAGATACATACAGCATGTGTTAACTTCATTATAAGGCTTATATAAGGCTTTAAATCTTTTGCGGCTCCAGACATATATATTTTTTTTTTGTCCAATATGGCTCTTTCAACATTTTGGGTTGCCGACCCCTGGCCTAGGAACTAAATACATTACAGATATGCTCACTGAATACAAACCAAACAGACCACTCAGATCATTAGGATCATATAAACTAGAAGTTCCAAGAGTTCAGTCAAAGCAGGGTGAATCAGCTTTCAGCCACTATGCTCCCCGCTGCTGGAATCAGCTTCCAGAAATGATCAGATGTGCTCCAACATTAGGCACATTCAAATCAAGACTGAAAACACATCTGTTTAGCTGTGCCTTTACTGAATGAGCACTGTGCTGCGTCCGTCAGATTGCACTATCATGTTTTTCTCTTCTTCTTCATTCTTTTATATCACATTTTACCCATTTTTATGTTTTTTTTAATCATTTTTATTATTTGTTTTTATTTTTATTTTACTTGTTTCTTGTATTCTTGTTTATGTAAAGCACTTTGAATTGCTACTTTGTATGAAATGTGCTATATAAATAAACTTGCCTTGCCTAGTTTACAAATTAAGTTATGTGTAATCCAATGAAATGACACAAGGAAAAAGCATGGAACACATGAAGAAAGGGAGGTGTAAAAAGGCAGTGAAAGCCCAGACAGCAGTTGAAATCTCTCAGTAGTAACCCTCTGCACATGAATATTAGCTGCTTCAGTCCAACATCTATAGGATGGTGAGGATGAAACCAGGGTGGACATTTCGTTCTATACAAGTAGAAAAAGACATTTATTTAAACATTGCTACAGTTATCTACTGTCTCACCATCTGCACAGCACTGATGTACTGCTTCTGCTCCACATAGATGTGTGCCAGATTGAGCCAGACATCACTGATCTCTGCTGTGGCTTCTCTGACCTGAGCAAAGACGTCTCGCGCCTCTCGGAAATAACCTTTATGTGCCAACACAGCACCTGCGTGACAGAAGGAAAATGCTTATCGTGATGGAGCTAGTTTATCTGTGAACACATCTGTGCAATGCAGTATAGCATACACACATTAGAGAAGCAGAGAAACATGAGTGAATGAGAACTAAAAAAAAAAAACACATGACAAAGTGATTAACAGGTGCCTTTTTGGGCACATGAAATGAATCAGGACATCTGAATCTGGCCTTAGAAGAGTTATTAAAACCCACCTATGCCATTGGCAGCATATAGATTTTTGGAGTCATTCCGCAGAACTTGTTTGTAGATCGCCAACGCTCGATCCTGGTGACGCTTTTCCTGCAAAATAAATAAACACAATAAGAGAGTAAATGAATAACACAGAAAATAAATTCCGACAACGCATGATGGATGAAGTGAAGCACCTTTTCCCGGTCTCTGGTGGGCTGATGCAGCGTCTGAAGCCATACGTTTCCCAGCGCCAGCATAGAGTAAGTGTCATTCTGAGTTGAGGGCTGTTTGAGGATACGTTCAAACTTCTTCTGGCCGGGACCCCACTCCTGTTTTGCCAAGTGAAGGTTGCCAATCAGCGACCAGGCATCAGGGTGATCCTACGAAACACATTTTACACTTCATTAAACATGTAATTTACACATTACTTTTTTGGAAGAACACTATATAATATATAGCTGCGGGTTAACTATGTGCATATACTGTCTAACTTAAACACCAGTGGTCCCCAAGATTTTTTATAACCAAGGACCGGTTAATGCTTGATAATTTTACCTGCCCTCTTGGTATTCGGAAAAGTTAAGATGTTTTGAACTGGGTGTGCCTGGAAGGTGCGAGCGTGTCACTCCCAATATGAGCACACAAGCTGCGCACTTTCATTGGAATTAACAAACTTGCGAATGGAAAAGACGTAATATGTGAACGGCTGCTGATCTCCAGCAGTTGATCTTTTTACCCAGACATGCTGGATTCTTTTCTCATTTTGACTGTAATGTAGTAACAATATGCACCTTTTTGTAAAGCTGTGAAAAGCGCTATACATATAAACTTGAATTGAATTTTATTTAAATAGATTTGAGGAAAATAAAACACATGACACTTAAAGAGCCTAAAAAGTCTAGAAATACATGATCCGAATATAATTCACTGATGGATGCCAAAAGTTTTAGAGCACTGAATATAAAAAAAAAGGAAGTTCACATGCTTGGATCCGTTACATGATGACCTATTTGAATGATCAAAAAAGGATCATTAATTTTAGAATAAAACAAACGAGTTAGAATGATAATAATAATACAATTTAGATAATTTTAAATGCATAATACAATTATAAAATCTATGGCAAATAAACAAATCTCATTAAATCTATAATGAACTGATAACATTTCTTAACATTTAAAATAAATAAATATTGATATGTATTTAATGTTTTCATTAGTTGTGACTGAAAAATCAAGGTTAGTCCACCAAATATTGAAATTCCTGACTTTTCCTTTGCTATGGGTTTGTCTGAAAATAAATAAAAACCTGCCTGAAAACAAGACAAGTCTTTTGTTTCCTTTGGCAACTTATTTGTTTATACTCTAAATGACAGTATTTAATTTGTATTTTATTTTTATTTAGAAATAGTTTATATTTTAAATTAAGAAGAAATATAACAAGTAGTTTGCGAAACAAAGCGAAATTTAAGTTGACCAAACACAAAATACAACATGCAACTTGTTACTTTGAATTAAAAGTTAAATTAGCTTTGTATGTTTGTAATGAGGCAGCAGACACATGTAATCTGTTGAAAATAAGTGTTAATTCCACATTTATGCGTTGTGTCATTAATCAGCTCTTTTTTTATATATATATTTATAGGAATTAAGTCTTTAATTGACAAGATTTTGGCCACATGATGACCAATATAGAAGGTGATGTCATGAGTCCACAATTAGGCTGTAATTTTTTTAATCCCATATTTGATTTTTGAAGTCTTTTATTACATTGCTCTTACTCATTTTGAAACGTTTTGCTTATTTGGATTAATACAGATTTATAAAATTCCAATATACGTAGGCCTATGTATAAACACAAGAACTGTCTACCTGGTTGATCTGAAGCGCTTCTTTAAACCAGTCTGAAGCTTCATAGAAATTTCCCTTATCACGTGCCATCGCCCCGAGGCGCAAGTAACCTGTTACAGAATCAAATGAATCAAATTAACTGACCATTTCTTTTAAACAAAAACAAATAAATAAATCACACAACACGAATACTGGAATATACATACAGTCCACGTAGTTGGGATGCTCTCTGAGGATGTTCTTGTAGAGTTTCTCAGCCTCGTGAAACTCACACATGGCCTCGTAGAGTCTGGCCAGGTTATAAGAGGTTGTGACAGAGATGGCGTTGTAATAATGCTCATCGTGCTCACCCTCAGCTTTTGCTCTCTCCAAAGAAGCCAGAAAGTATTTCTACAAAGATATTGAGATGTGTGAGTTACTTATATAATGTATTTTTCCATTTTTTAATTATAGTTTAATAATATAAATATGAATAACTTCCAAAGCAAACTGTTTCTTTCTATTAAATAGAGATTTCTGGATGAAATTGTTCCTCTCCATATGCACCACACACTTTCTTATTAACACTTCATATTTCTGGGAGAACACTGTGCAATTTTGAGTGTGCTCCACACAAGTGGGTGGGCTTGACAAGCAATATGTTGGAAACGTACCCTTTCCTCTCGATATGCACCGCACACTTTTTTATAAACACTTTTCTGGGAAAACATTGGAAAACATTCTAAGAAAACGTGCGGATTTCGATACCAATCGGTTCTGACATTTTAAAAAACGTCCATTTCACACTAACATTTGAATGCTGTTGAACATTGGCGAGTTTGATGAACTTATGACCTTCACGGCCAATCACAGTAATTTCTGGTGAGCTCGTGAACACAACGGCAAATCAACTCTGTTTAAGAATGTGCTAAACAGCGCTCAAATGTTAGCGGAAAATGGACGTTTTTTAAATTTCAGTATCGATTAGTATTGAATTTCAGCACTGTGACAACCCTAAAAAGGACTTTAGGGTTAAACTTTATTTAAATGCTAAACTAACTTGAACTTGTCATGGCATCTATATATTGCTGCTCTGGTGATTTTAAGTGATTCTTCTACCCTCATTTGAAAGTCTTTGGATAGAAGTGTCTGTCAAATTATAAAATTTAAATGTTTCAAAGAAAATCTGACACTAATTTCGATCTACTGTTTTTAGTTTGTATATGCTATATTCACTCTGCTTTTTACGAATAGAATACAAAGCATGCATTGGCTTTAAAACAATTTTTAAATGCAAATACACAAACAGACAATACTGTATCTGAAGTATAACTCATTCAATATTATTTTGTTGAACTTTTAATAAAATCAGTTTCACATTTGCAAACACGCTCATGGCTTCATCGCCTTGTGAAAGCCTTTGGATTTTTGTCCATGGAGATGGCAATAATCAAAATTTTCTCAAACATTTTGTGCTTTATTTCACAACAGACACAGAATTTGGGTAGCTTGTACGTTTACTCTATTCTTCTTCTATTTAAATAGCCAGTTACTTTACTGCACTTTGTTAAAAGATTAATTAACATGTTGTAAATCCAGCAGCTCTAATTTCTGCAGCACAAACTGACATGGCTGCTATCAACCATCATAGATCAAATAATAGGATCATTATTCAGCAGCTCATTCATTCATTTTCCTTTGGCTTAATCCCTTTAATTATCAGGGGTTGCCGAAGTGGAATAAACCGCCAACTTATCCAGCATACAGCTGAAGTCAGAATTATTAGCCCCCCTGAATTATTAGCCCACCTGTTTATTTTTTTTCCCCAATATTTTTTTTATTTATTTATTTTTTTAACGGAGAGAATATTCCTTTAAACACATTTCTAAATATAAAAGTTTTAATAACTCATTTCTAATAACAGATTTATTTTATCTTTAAAATAATATTTCTGACTTCAACTGTATATTTTAGGCAGTGGATGCCCTTCCAGCTGCAACCTAGTGCTGTGAAACACCCTATGAAGCAGTTTAAATGATAAAAAGCAGATCTTCCACATATTTAATAATTGAGATATCAGATATTTCACAACTCAATATTTGTAGAAAATACAAATACAAAAGAAAAACAAGCATAAATCATCAGGGCTGTTGTGTCACATGATAAACTTGATGTCTCGCCAGGATAACTTTAAAGTAATGCATTCTAAATAATAGTCACATAAAAAAACTAACGCATGGGTAGTATATTAAAATGTGAAAGGGTTAAACACCATATTTGCGGTATGGTTTGGTATACTATAATTTTAAGTTCAATATATAATTATGCAGAACGTCAATCGATAGCAGAACCAGAACATTTGTAGAGCCAAATTAGATTCAGAGCCAATTTAGATGTAATTAGAGCCAATAAAAAATATATATATATTTTACCTTGGCCTCACCCAGGTTTCCCAATCTGAAGTGTAAAGCCCCTAAATTATTAAGGATCTCAGGGGGAACATCAGCTTGGACCTTCTCCTGAAGGATGCGAGTGGCAGTGCCGTATGCAGAAAGAGCACCCTGAAGAAAAAACATGGGTGATTCAGCAATAGAGAAATGCATCTTACTTAAATCAATACAGAGGCAAATGTATTGCAAGACTATACCCGTTACCTGAATGTCTGTTTGCTCCAAAATTTGGGCAAGCTCAATCCAGGCTTCCACATCATCAGAATATTGTACTGTGACTTTTTTCAGATGTTCCTATTAGAGATAAAAAAACACTTATATTTACACAGGGGGAGGCTAATAATTAATAATTTAACTGTGATTTCAACTCCATACTTTAATGTCATACTTTAGCAATATCTCTCTTCTCCTGGTCATCTGATGTGGCGTATAGTGACCCAAGGATCTTCATGGTTTCGTAATTGTTGGGATAAGCCTTCAGAACCTTTTCAAAGCACTGCGCGGCATTCTCCTTGTCTCTACGGTAAACATACATCTGACCCAGACCAAAGAATGGCAGTACAAAAGTGGATGAAGCAAACTGAGTGGCCTGATAGTAATACTGGAACGCTTGGTCATAGTCCTCCTAAAAAAAACAAAAAAAAAAAAACAAAGATGCAAGCAAAATTATTATTATTTGTTACTGATGTTACACAACACAGGGAATTTTAGTAGACTGATATATTAGCCTGGTTTCTTAACAACTGGCATACGCAGTTAATAGGTAACTTAGTATTTAAGACCCGCAAACACCATAGTATATGTTTTTTTCACTTCGAAATATGATAACTTCTTCTAAATAAACTATTACAGCTCAGAAAAATGTTTTCTGTTAAATTAAAAAAAAATTATAATAAGCGGGATAAAGTACAGCTAGGGGGTTGTTTTCGCAGAATAACGCCCTTCAGTCTTATACAACAGTGCTGCATTTCACATCGGGCTGGATGTAATTTATACTTAACTAATACAACCTTATTATAAATTGTAACCCAAAATAGTTAATACAATATATCATTACAGTATAAAACTATTCAGGCAAATATAGTAGTCATGTTTCTTACCTGTACATGGAAAGAACGTGCTAACTGATAGCAGCTCTCTGCCTGCATCGCCTCCACCTCTGTGTTGTGAAACGCATGAAGAGCCAAATGCTGCACTTTACTGTAATCCTGAAAAACACAGAGGACATCATTAAACCACAGATTTAAAACAGACCACAAGCTGATCGCAAGAGAGTTCTAGCTTTACCTTTTTGAGAGAAAGAGTTTTGAATTCATTTAATTTACAATATTTTATAAAAAAAAAAAATGCTAATAAATTAACAAAACAAAAAAAAAACATCAACAGAAATAAATTATTATACAGCAAAATTATATAAATATTTACAGCAAAAAATGTTTTTATTTAGGGTGCATTAAATATATATATATATTGAAGTCAGAATTATTTGCCCCCCTGAATTATTAGCCAGCCAGTTAATTTTTTGCCCAAGAAAATTAGCTTGAAAGGGCTAATAATTTTGACCTTAAAATGTTTTTTTATTATTAGAAACTGCTTTTGTTCTGGCCAAAATAAAAAATAGACTTTCTCCAGAAGAAAAATATTACCAGACATACTGTGAAAATTTTCTTGCTCTGTTAAACATCATTTAAGAAATATTTAAAAATAGAAAAAAACAATCAAATAGGGGCTAATAATTCTGACTACACCTGTATATTATATTATATTATATTATATTATATTATATTATATTATATTATATTATATTATATTATATTATATTATATTATATTATATTATATTATGTTATATTATATTATATTATATTAATTTATAAATTTGTCAGACAAATAACAATGGCACTGAAGGCTGGAGTAATGAATCTAGAACATGTAAATAAAGAACATTTAAATAAACATATTTAAACATATTTTAAAGTGTAACAATATTTTGCCATATTGCTAGTTTTACTATATTTTTATTCAATCTAACCATAGACAGAATATCCCAAAAATGTAAACTTTTAACATTTTAAAGCTTGCAGGTCAGTGGTTGTACGAAGCTCAGTAGTAAGGGTATTTAGGACCTGCCACTGCAAAAGAGCGATCAGCCCACTGCTTGTATCTTGACCGAGGGACTTCAAGCTGAAGTTGGCCAACAGAGCGCATAGCTGTGCTGGGTTTGTAAATGTGCAAAACTTTGCATATATAAGTAGTAGCAAGGCCATTGACGGGATTAAAAACAAACATTAAAAAAATAAAAAACACCAGTACTCCCTTACAGTTGGAGTTCAGCTCCAAAATAAATAAATAAATAAATAAATAAATAAATAAATAAATGATAAATGTGTAGTGGGCATACATTATAATAATTAATTAAAAATTACATTTGGCATGATGAGATTTTGACTATAATATCTCAAATTGTAATACTTCTTAATTTAAGACAACAGGAATAAACAATACATAGGATAAAATACATAAATAAAAATAAGATACACAAGATAAAAATCTAAAACAGTTTTAAGGCTTACTTTTGATATAAATTGTACATGTATAGCACATTCTATTCAATGCCTCTCCAGATGTCTACCTTTTTGAAGAAGAAATGATTGGCCAGGTGATTGAGCACCATTGGGTTGCTGGGGTCAATGGTGTAGGCTCTGGAGAGCAGCTGGACGCCGTTCTTGATGGAGTCGGCCTCTTTGTTGTTGAGCTCCAGCACAGCCAAACCCACCAGTGCTCCTACACATTTGGAGTTGAGCTCCAGAGCTCTTCCAAATGCCAAGCGAGCTTTCTCCAGTTTGTTGAGCTTGACAAAGCAGTGGCCCATGCCTAGCCTCACCTCAGCTGAAATAAAACAAATAACACAGAAATCAGTTCGGTCTTAACCGGATGCATCTGACCTGCTAACTTTACATTTCCACTTAGCGGACGCTTTTGTCCAAAGTGACTTACAATTAAGGAGGCATTCAGCGATTCAACCAGAAGAGGCAATACACACAACAAGTACAATTTATACAAATTAACTTGTTTGTGCTCAGAAAATTTTGTGCTAGAGTAAGAGTGCTAGATTTTTTTTTTGAAAGAGAGTGGTTTCTACATGTGGTTCGTCAAGCCCACTCACCTGTGTGAAGCACACTTCATAAATGCACAGTGTTTAGGTCTGTTAATGAGATGAATGAGTGTGTTTTTTACAGGTGGTTTGCATGGGCGTAAATCCCAGGGGGGACAGGGGGGACATGTCCCCTCCCATCCGAGGGTTGTAAACGCAACACAACAAACAATGCAATAAATAGTTTTGATGAACAATTTGCTTTATATTTGAACCTGATAAAAACTTTAAAAAATAATCATAATGACGTAGTCTCCATGCTATAATAATAATGATGAAACTATTTTTAACTGCGGGGGCATATCTTTATTAGTACAATTCGGCTGTATTATTTGTGTCCCCTACAAAAAAATGCTCGAAAGACATTTTATATTTATTGTCCCCCCTACTCTTAAATCAGATTTACGCCCATGGTGGTTTGTTAAGCCCACTCACCTGTGTGAGGCACACTCAAAATTTATAGTATTTTGGGTTGGTGTGGAATGAGGTGGGAACACAGACTCAGAAATTTGGCCGTTAGTAGATATTATTTCATGACACTTTGGAATACTTGTTTCTGATTGGCCAATCACGACATTCAAAAGTATTTTATTCCATTATATTGCGTGTGTTATTCCACGAATGAGCCTGTTTTTTGTTATTTATCAGTTGTTATCTAGGAATACCAAACTTTAGAATGTGGTGATTGGTCAATCAGAATCAAGTATTCCACAGAGCCATGCAATAATAACCATCAATGTTTCTCTTGAATACTTAGTTAGATACTTTATTAATTCCAAACAAAATTCCGTAATTTAATAAGATTCAATATCATGCTGAACAATGTATCGTTTGAGCACTGAGTATGTATCCGCAATACCCACATCGTCGGATTAGATTATTAATTGAAGATTAAAGGATGCAGATATTATTAAATATTATGTTTGCAAATGATTTATACAATGATGATCGTATCATTTTATATTTGATTGCTCAATTTCTGTTCTTAAATACTGTTCGACTTTCCAGAAAACCATTGTTTTCTAACTTTTTTTTTTGTTCTGTTGCAATTATATATGCATGGTTTTGATTGTATTTTATGCAAATGCACTGCATAGAAAAAGACTTGATCATCCCAGTTGATCTAAATTAATGACATCTTTCCAAATGAAGTCATTCAAATCAACTGGTAAAACGAGGTTCATATAACAACATATATGGCAGCAAATCAAAATATCGCACTGTCAGATTTTTCCAATGTTGTGCAGCCCTAGTCCAATACACAAAATACATAAAGTGTACATACAAACATAAACAAACACACTCTGAAATAAAGGAGGCCAATTTTAATCTAATTGGCCAATTTTGACATTCCAAGGTATGTTATTTCTAGATCACAATGGGTTAAACTAATAGCATGACTCATCTGGGTACTGCAAATCATCTTGACCATTATTATTTACATGATAGTAATATTATTATATAATTTCTTTGCTCTCAAAGAAGCCTGAGCAACTAATAACTATTTTGTCATTTTTTTTAAGTGCCTCAAGTCAGTGATAATTAAAAATTGTTCACTAGCCAGAGGAAAATTAACTATATCACTCGCCACTACTGAAACACAGTGACTGATTTTATTCAGAATGGCACCACACAAGTTTTTATTTTGGTTGAAAGTGCACTGGAGCCTTTATTTTTTCTTCAACTTGTATTCTGCAAAGAGTGGTCAGTTTAAGGAAAATAAATTTACCTGGACAGCCAGGGTTAGTGCGAAGAGCTTTTTTGTAGTAGGCTAGAGCTCCTCTGTAATCCTTTTTGTTGAAAGAGATGCACGCTTTACCTGTGGTGTGACATAAACAACAATGATCATTAACATCATGAAAATCAGTCATGAAATTCCTTTTTTTCACATCATATGTAAACTTGTATGCAAAAATAATACAAGTCAGTACCTAACTAACCCAAACAATTTCAAAATAAATCATTCGCACAACTGATCATATAGAAATAAAATTCTAAAAGATTTTAAAAACCACAGTATTTATTGATCAAAATCACAGTAAAAACAGTGTATAGTGTAAGTTTACAAAAGTAATACATAACTATTTAAAAGTTTGGAGTTAGAGAAAACAATTGAAAGAGCTTTTATTAAGCAAGGGTGCATTAAATAGATTCATACATTCATGAACATTAAAATATTATATTAAATATAATTATAAAATCACACAACACTTTATATATAACACTTATATATATATATATATATATATATTATATATATATATATATATATATATATATATATATATATATATATATATATATATAGGGGTGTCAAAATTGATTGTTTCTTCGGTGCACCACAATGCAGACGCGGACATAACCGGTTATTATGTACTGACGTCATTTATCTCATATGCGTTCTGTCGCGAGGGAGGTCCTCCAGGAGCCAACTACATAAAAACGCAGAAACTGTGCACAATTTTACTGCGTGTGTGTGTTTTCTGGACAATCTATTCCCTGACGCTTACAGCAGAAGTCCCTATCTCTCTGCGATTGAGGGAATGAAAGTGAACTCTAGTTCTCTCTCTCTGTGGCTCGGTTCACCTGCTGGCGTGACTTTTCCTCTCCTCTCGGCTGCTGCCGTGACTTTTCCTCCCCTCTCTTTTCCTCTCGGTTGTTACAACATACTTCTGGATATAGGTCTGCATTACTGCGGCCGTACCTGTGCATTGTTGCAGGACCCGACCAGATTTCATGCCACGCAGAAATAAATTTCCGAATTAATCGCGGTAGCGGCTGGTAACTCTGGTGTAAATTTAACAGAAGTGGGCGGTCTTACAATATCGCTCCCGAACGAGCAAGTGCGTGCGTACGTGTGTTTTTGTTTGGTGCTGTCTATGTTTATATATGTGTGTGAATGAGAGACAGTATGGTGCTGTGTGTGTTTATACAGACAGCTTGTTATAGCCTCTTTTAGCCTTTTTTAGTGTGGATTTCACCTTGATTCAATTCATCTTTATCTCTATAGCACTTCAGTGTTGTTCAGATCAGTGTTATGGAAAGATCACTGCTGAAACCTCGATGATGAAATCAGGGATTTCAAATGATGGTGTGAGATATTTACCCAGGAGTGCAGGGATGTTGTTGGTTGACTGGTTCAGTACAAACTGAAACTGAGCGTCTGCCTGATCCATTTTATCTCCTTCAAGAAGACAAAAGCAAGCTCTCCCCAAAAGATGGTTCTGTGACAAAACAAAAATATCAAAAAACATTAGATATACAACGGTATAAATGTTTCATATCCTAAATATAGTGACCAAAATAATCCCAGTTATAAATCTTATCATTTAAGGTTATGGTTTATTATGGTTTAGTTAAAAAGACCTGAAAGTGTTTAGAATTAAACGTTAGACAGGCATTTCACCAAGTTTTGAATCTGTAAATGAACAAGCAACAAATAAAATTTTCAGCTTTTTTGCAGTTTTGTGGCAAAAAACAAAAAGGATCTGTGTATTCTTTATGTTTACTCATATTTGCATTATTTTATGTGCATTGTGTTTTAATAGGTACTAGGCATGAGACGATAACCGTTTTCAAGGTATAACGCGGTTTGAAAAAAAAAATCAAGGTTTTAAAACCGCCAAAATTTTCTGTAATACCGTTCCTAAGGTATGTGTACGATTTTTTATTTACTTTTTTGGTTTGTTTTTTTTAGAACAACAGTATCTCCAGCAGAGAAGATATCCAAAGATGATGTTTTAAATTGTGAAGAAATCTGTGTTTTTGAAACTAATGAAGACAGCAGAAGTCTACGATTCATTTGAATTATTTAGCCTGAAATGTTTACTGATCCAAAACATTTGAAATCTTTCAAAAAATAAAATATATTGTTTTAAAAGGGGAAAACAATTGTTGTCTTTACCCAGACATTTAAAAAGAATGTATTTTAGAGCAGTAATCACAAAACCGTAAAAAAAAAAAAAAAACGTGACATTTTTATCTAAGGTTATCATACCGTCAGAATCTTATTTAATGTATTATTTGTTAAACCTGTACTTAGAACACTACCACACAGAGATCCATGTTTACCTTGTTTTTTACAAAACTGCATAAATGCCAAAAATGGCTGTGCAATTTCACAAAAATACCTAACTGCAATTTTTCTGACTAATACTGGGATATACGTTTTCCATTTAATTTTGCAAAGTCAAGCTTCAGCTCAGTATTCTCAATAATGTGCAGAACTCACTTTAATTAAAATGAATACAACATGCATTAACTGTGTATGAGCAATTCCATGCAAAAGTCAACCTTGCCAAGAAAAAAGGAAGTTTTCACCAAAATAGCGAAACCATTTCTACACAAGCATTTTACAGTTTCTGTCAATGTTTTTAAACAATTATTTTTAGTCTACCAAAGTCACACAAGTGCCAATTTCACAGCCGTCACATCCACAATAGAGAGATGTCACATCCATAATCAAGCCTTTTCCTTAAAAATGCAAAAAAGTTAAATAAAAACAAACCAATCGTTTTTGTTCTATAGTGAGCCAACCTTTATCCTATTGATTAGCGTTATTTATTTTGGGTTGTGCAGTTTACTTCACAGAATTCCTACAAAGTATGTTGTATACTGTAAACTTGATAACTTTTTTCGTCACATCCATAACGTATGTTTTTTTTTTCCTCATTTAAAATAGAAAAAATGTTTACAGTTTGATCTATTTCTGATCGCAAAACTCTGTGGTGAGTAGTTTTGAAAATATAAACAGACGTTTTAATATAATAATAAAATATACATTCTCTTTAAATCTATGTTTGGAATTTTTACTTTAAATGTCACATCTATAACGCTGGAATTGCTCATATATAAATATACATTAATTAGCAGCCTACATAAATGCATTTACATTGCAGCCTTTCGTGGCTAACTAAATGCAATGTTACACGCTTTCATAAATGAAAATGAACATCAGAATCTGTAAACTGGTAATCCTGACAACACTAAAAAGACAATAAAACTAATACATGTTGACAAAGGGACCTGCAATATTGGGAGAAATGGATTGTGCTTATGCATTTACATTGTGTAAACCAGTGGTTCTCAAACTTTTTTCATCAAGTACCACCTCAGAAAAAAAAAATTGTCTCTCCAAGTGCCACCATAATGAGCAGCATTGAAATACAGAAGCTTAGTAAGCCCAGTAAAGCAGCTACAGCTCTGCACAGTTCTAAAATGTGGCTGACTAATTTCTAGTATTACGAATATTTATTATTGTCAGCCATTTAAAAGATTATAAATAGTCTGAACGTTAACAATGTACTGTGCTTATATGTAAAAAACAAAACAAAAAAAAAACAATCAAACTAAAAACGTCAACATTTAAATTAAAATGGGCTTTTAAAAGTTAAAAATGGTAGGTTAATGTTCTTAAAAAGTAAAAAGAAAAGTTCTGTACTTAAATGTAAGGTATTAACATATAGTAGCCAATTCATCAACACCTGGAAATTTTGCCTGAACCTCAGAAATATAGGTAATATGTCATTTAATAAATAATATTATATGTTAAATTTATATATAAATCATTTTTGATCAATTTTGTAATATATGTAGCATGTATATATGACACATTTGATATCTCTGCATACCACTAGAAGGAAGCCCACGTACCACTAGTGGTAGATGTACCAGTTTGAGAACCACTGGTGTAAACGGATCCTTATTTGTAATTGTTTATGTGGCTTGTAAAAAAATATGTGACCTGTAACTGTTCAAGTTCCGATGTTATTGCAAGTTTTATTTTTATTATTTTTTTTTTCTTTCTTAAAAAATAAATAAAATAAAGTTTCTAAAAAAAATAACAATAAAGAACATTGAAGCAATAAAAAAATAATAAATAAAGCAATAAAAATGATCCATGTGTTGTGATTTAGGTGGAAAGTTTTCATAAGAGGTACAAATGTTCGTGTAAATATGAAAAACCTACATAACAATTAGTGAATAAGACCCAATGACATCTTCAACGAGACAGTGACTCCCTTAATCTTGATTTACCTGATCGTACATGATGATCTTATCAGCCATGGTGTACAGAAGAGTGGACTGGTTGATGAGATCCTTTTTGGCATCCTTGTTCTTCTCTTTCCGAGCCTGTTGGACATAATAAGCTGCTAGTGTGTCCAAACAGGTCATCTGGTCTTTCTCATGGTCTCTGTAATCCAGGTTTCCGTCGATGCGCGCCGCCTCCAGCAGCTTGACAAAATCTTCTGTCTTGCCTTGTTTGTAGTACTCCAGCTAAAAAGAAACAGCGATGAGGAGTTACTGCTCCAGAACTCCTAACGATGACATGATATACAAGCGTGTGACTTACAGCGAGTGCGATCCATATGTGCAGCTGCGTGTGCTCCTGCTTGAGGATACTGATGACTTCATCTCCTTCAGGTAGCTGGTCAAAGTCGAGCTCGATAACCTGAGAATGAAAAAGCAAATTAATTGCAAGTCACTGATGACAATGAGATAAAGATCCATCAGTGAATTTGGCTGTTATGGCTCATTTAGCTACAATAGATACCTTAAAATGCCATAAATTTAGTTATCCATTTATTTATTCCTGATAAATCCATTATATATATATATATATATATATATATATATATATATATATATATATATATATATATATATATATTAAGGGTGTCACAATCCTCCAAATCCTCGATTCGATTACATTTTCGATTCTAAAGGCACGATTCGATTATGAATAATTAATTAATAAATGACCAATTAATTATTTGTAGCCTACCGTTTAAACTACCTGACCTGCATGGTCTTTGTTTTACCCATAAACAAATCATACAGTAAATGAATAAAGGCAAGATACACACATAATTACATCCTGTCAATCACTTTTTCTGCGGGACTCGTGAATAGGCAGTGATCTGTGTCGTTATAACGGCGTCGGTAAAAAAGACGCACAACCAACAGGAACCAGCCAACAGTATCTGAGGTGTTCGCTAAAATGACTAAGTACAAGTGAGTGAAAGATTGAAGCAGTCCTCTGACTGCCTGGACCTGCTGTCTCGAGCGTATGGCTGTGTGTGCGTCTGTGTCTGTGTGGTCACGTGATGTGCAGTTTCAGAGGCAGAGAGGAAGGAGGGCTGCTCAGAAATGCCACACGACACTGTGGATGTCAAATCGTTGTCGTTCTAAAATGCCATTTAAAAACAAAGACAGTGTAAACAGGGACTGAGTGTGTACTTTTCGCGAGCGGATTTGCAACGGGGGCGGGCGGAGGATCGCGATGCCGGTGTTGTCTATCAGACGAACTGTACGTAATACGTACATAGCAGAGCTTGCACAACTGTATTTTTTTTGTCGACAACACGAACGTTGTTTAAGTTCTCTCGACGGGTCTCCTGCTTCTGCAGTTTAACAAGCACTTCAACAAGCCTGTTTTTTTCCCGCTTGGCAAGCCAAGCTGACATGGGGGCGTGGCAGCATCGACGATTCTATTTTTTGATTCGATAATCGAAATTGAGCATAAATTTCGATCGATTTCGATTAAAAATCGAAATCGTGACACCCCTAATATATATATATATATATATATATATATATATATATATATATATATATATATATTCTGAGAAATAATATTGAATTTTAATAATAATATTAATGATAACACTTTACAATAAGGTTATATTAGCTGTATTTACTAAGATAAACAATAAACATCACATCTATTAAAGAATTGATTCATGTTTGTAAACGTTAGTTAATAATAATACGGACATTGTTAGTTCATGTGAACTTACGGTGCATTAATGTTAACAAGCATAAATTTAAGCATAAACCCTAACCCTAATCTACCACAATTATGTTCTAAAGAGAGCTCAGGGTATCCTATGCACCCCGGATCACCCATTGTGCTCTGTGTTTCAGCTGTTGCCATCAGGACGTCGTTTTAGGGTTCCTATTTGCAGGACAAATAGAACCAGAAATTATTTTATAATGGTGGCCATTAGGTCATTAAATGAGTCCAGGGGGGAGGGGGATGTATCTACATATTGATGTATGGATGTTGTGTGGTAATATTTTATTAATGTGTACATGGAACTTCGCCTGTGTTATGGCACCTTGTTGCAATTTTAGTTTCCCTAACGGGATAATAAAGCTGAGTCTGAGTCATTTTATTAATGCACTGTTGAACTATGGCTAAAAAAGCAGAGCAAATGTTAACCTTGCCATTAAAAAAAAAGTTTTCCACCAAAAAACAGAAACAGTTTCTGGGGTTTTGGGGTAAGCAAGTATTTTACAGTACTTTAAAAAATTTTTAAAATGCATCTGTCAATGTTTTCAAACTATTCTATTTGATTTACCAAAGTCACACAAGTGGCAATTTCACATCTGTCACAACCACAAGATGTCACATCCATAACAACACTTTTTCATCATAAATGTAAATATATAAAATAAAACCAATCATTTTTGTTTTATAGTGAGTCAACTCTTATCCTTTTGATGAGCATTATTTAATTTTGGGTTGTGCAGTTTAATTCACAGAATTATATATAACACATAAATGTATATACATACATGTATCTATGTACACAAACACACACACGTTTATATATCTATCTATCTATCTATCTATCTATCTATCTATATATATATATATATATATACAGTATATTAGTGGTGGGCCGTTATCAGTGTTAACATGCTGCATTAACTCAAGACTCTTATCGTGCAATAAAAAATATCGCCCTTTATCTATTCTCAAAGTTGGTTTGGGAGCTGGGTCTATTCTACGCAAGCTATGATGACTTTCACCTTGATATTTTAGCACGGGTGTACATATAACCGGTGAGCCGTCTGACAAAAAAATGCCTTTCTGAATCAAATCAGCAGAATGCCCTTCTGGAGTTTTCTCTTACTTCGAAGACACTACTGACTACGCTTACATGGACATCTGTAATCTAGTTATTTGCCTTAATAGACAATAATATAATTAAGGTGTTAACATGATTAAGTGCTTTCATGTAAGAGTTTCCTGTAATTTTGAGTGACTTTAACTGTAGTTCGGCAGTTTCACTTTAACTCATGAACATTTCATTCATGCCCCCGTGACAAACTGGGGTATTAGATGCAAATAAGGAGTAAGGACTGGTCAGAGTGTTATGGAATTGAATAATTCTTATCTAGATTCATATCAAGATTAAAGTGAGTGTATGTATGTATTTATGCACACACACACACACATATATATATATATATATATATATATATATATATATATATATATATATATATATGTATGTATGTAAATAAAAAGTTATAATTATTAAATTAAAAAATAATAATTCTTTACTATTATGTTCATGCCTACTTATATTTTATTATTGCTTTATGAGTGCTTTACTTTTTTCCAAAAAGTTCTACAATATATAAATAGACATAAACAACCATTTCACATCATTGTAACGTTCACAGTCATAACACAGTTCACAAGTTCACACACAAGATCACAGTCATAACTTTACGCCCAGGACGAACTCGGTCATTTGTGTCACTCGCATTCGTTCGTTGGTTAATTTTATGTACACTCGTCTAAAGCGCGTGAATGATAGCATGTTAGCAGCTGATAGCTAATTTATCCATGGAGCAGTAGTACAATTATTCTCGGCATCATGGAGATAAAACGAGTCCAAACCTCATCTGTGTCCCGCAGAGGGATTTCAATGGATCCCCGAGACATGTTTGCGACTCAAGCTTCAAACCCGATAGCGCAGATTTGGGTTTTTGTACTTGTTCGTATCCAGTGGTGATGAACAGCAGCAGCCTCACACACCGACCGAACCTGAACAACAAAATACTCTACACTTCCGGGTTAGCAGTCAGGCCCTTCAAAATAAAAGCACGTGCTTGACGTATCCGGGATCTTTTTTGGGGTGGGAAAGTTGCCTTGGTTCAACCTTTTAATATACTTTATGCCACCTCTAGGTAATTTTAAATGATCAACGCACAATTACAATAATAAAACATACAGATTTAAATGTAAGTAAAAATTTAAAAGACTTAAATGGTGTTTAAAATGATTAGATTGAGTACGATTTTATACTACGAATTATAATAATAATAATAATAATAATAATAATAATAATAATAATAATAATAATACTACTACTAATAATAATACAGTTATATAATTATTCATTCATTCGTTTTCTTTTCAGATTAGTCCCTTTATTAATTAGGGGTCGGAACATCAGAATGAACCGCCAACTTATCCATCATAGGCTATGTTTTACGCAGCGGACGCCCTTCCATCACTTGGAAACATCCATACACACTCACACACACACATACACTACGGACAATTTAGTCTAAGTACCCAATTCACCTAAAGCGCCTGTCTTTGGACTTGTGGGGAAAACCAGAGCACCCGGAGGATGCAAACTCCACACAGAAATGCCATTGCCAACTGACCCAGCTAAGGCTCGAACCAGTGACCTTCTAGCTGTGAGGTGATTGTGCTACCCAGACATAGATGACAAAATTAAAAATAAATAATAATAATAATAATAGTAGTTATTGTTTTTATTTGATCTTAAAATGTGTTCAAACGTTATTATTATTATTATTATTATTATTATTATTATTATTATTATTATTATTATTATTATTATTATTATTATTTGTATTAAATAATAAATGGACCAGGACAATTAGTGGGCGGTCCTGACAGTGATGAGTGCTGGCCTGGAATCATTTGATATGGAAAACTGTCGAATGTTAATTAAAATGGTTCGTTACAACATTGTCCTATCCTGCTTGCAGCACACAGGCAGTGAATGGAGGGTGATTGGGGAGGGTCACTATGTCATCTGGTTTTGATGTGTGCCAGTGTGCGTCTATGATAAAAAGAGGCAAAGGATCAGCTGCTGTTGCTTTTACAAGCACCGAGATCTTCAAGCAAGATGGATGTTGCACATAATTTTATTATTTGAGTTGTTGTCACTAACATTTTTATTTATTTAGCAAAACCATGCAACAGAAGAACACAGTTAATCTTCAGTAGCTCTGGAACATGTAAGTACCTCTTCTAATGAAATTAGGATGTATAATAAATAATAATATGTGTAATAAATATTTCTATTATAATCACATCCAAAATAAAAGATTGTATAATTATATACAATATTAAAATCAGAATTATTAAATCTTCTTTGATTTTTTTTTCTTCCCTTCTTTAAATATTTCCCAAATGATGCTTAAGAGAGCAAGGAAATTTTCACAGTATGTCTGATAATATTTTTTCTTCTGGAGAAAGTCTTATTTGTTTTATTTCGGCTAGAATAAAGCAGTTTTTATTTTTTTTTAAACCATTTTATGGACAAAATTATTAGCTCTTTAAAGCTATATTTTTTCCAATAGTCTGAAGAACAAACCATCATTATACAATAACTTGCCTATAATTACCCTAACCTTCCTAATTAACCTAATTAACCCAGTTAAGCTTTTAAATGTCACTTTAAGCTGTATAGAAGTGTCTTGAAAAATATCTTGTCAAATATTATTTACTGTCATCATGGCAAAGATAAATTAAATCAGTTACTAGAACTGAGTTATTAAAACTTTTATGCTTAGAAATGTGTTGAAAAGAAAATCTTCTCTCCGTTAACAGAAATTGAGGAAAAAATAAACATAGGGGGGGGGCTAACAATTCAGGGGGGCTAATAATTCTGACTTCAACTGTATGTATGCACTGCATTTATTTATTTAAATATATAAATAAATGCACACTGTAAAAAATGTAGGGTTCTACACAATTCATTCATGTTGTCCCAATACAAATCGATTAAGTTAACCTGACAAATTTATGTAGTTTGAATGTAAAACAATTAGGTTGTACCAAAAAAATCTCAAGAATTGCATTGTTTTGGCTTTTTTAAATATGTAGTTTGAACAAGGAGCAAAGTATTTTTTTGTGCAAACGAGTGCACACATACATGCGCATATTTGAGAAAATGTTTATTTAAAGGGTGTCACAGTGAAGCAGTGAGTAGCACAATCGGCACACAGCAAGAAAAAGGTCGCTGGTTCAAGCCTCGGCTTGGTCAGTTGGCATTTCTGTGTGGAGTTTGCATGTTCCCCCCGTGTTCGTGTGGTTGGTGCTCCGGTTTTCCCCACAAGTCCAAAAACATGCGGTACAGGTGAATTGGGTAAGCTAAATTGTGCATAGTGTATGTTTGTGAATGAGAGTGTATGGGTGTTTCCCAGTGATGGCTTACGGCTGGAAGGGCATCCACTATGTAAAAAACATATGCTGGATAAGTTGGCGGTTCGTTCCACTGCAGCGACCCTAGATTTATAAAGAGACTAAGGCGAAATGAATTAATAAATGAATGTTTTTTTTTTTTATTTAGATATGAAATATGACATAATTTATATATAAATTAAAATATCTAACAAATTTGCTTTGTATAGTTTTATAAATATAAGTAAATTAAGTACATAAATACAAATAACACACACACATACTGTCAGGAATCCTTCCGGACCGTCAGATTCATTTCCTGCGCCTGCACAGCCTCAATCACCTGAATACTAATTATTTTCACACCTGTTGCTCATCACTCTCTCACACTATATAAGCCTGGGACATTTGCTCGTTCACTGTCTGATCTATTAGTTAGTTCTTGGACTCTTTTCTTTTCAGCCTAGCATTTACCTGTCATTGTATCCTGTCGGCTCATCAATTTGTTTGTCATCTTGTTTGTTGTCCTGTTAATCCTGTGCCGTGTTTACCTCCATTGGAATCATCTTGTTTCAATTACCACCTGAAGTTATGTTTGTTTTGTTTTCTTATATGTTGGTACTGATGATATTTCTATTCTGAATAACCCTCCTTTACGTTGTTTAAGTATCATTAAATATAAATTCTTTCTGTTAATCCAACTTTGTCTTCTCTATGATCCGTTACACATATGTCAAAACAAACTTTTATTTTTGGATGTAATTAATTAATGATCAATCTTTGCCAAAAAGTAATCATTTTGGATTACCAAACTGGTTTTCACACAGTAAAAAATAAAGCTGACTCAACTTACACTTATAATGCAACGTGCCGCTGATCTTTTTCCTGATGACTCTTTCTGTTTACAGCACTTGACTTGAATTAAGTTGAGTCAGCTTAAAAAGCTCTGCTGCAATTTTAAATTTCTATTTCATTCATTCATTCATTTTCTTGTCGGCTTAGTCCCTTTATTAATCAGGGGTCGACACAGCGGAATGAACCGCTAACTTATCCAGCAAGTTTTTACGCAGCGGATGCCCTTCCAGCCGCAACTCTGGGAAATTAAATTTCTATTTATTTTATTAAAATTTTTACAGTGTTTAATTATTCTAAAAATATTATTGCTGGGCAGAAATTAAACTTTTTTTTTGTTTTATTTTGCTTTTACAGAGCACTTGCTATGGCTTCAGCAAATTCAGCTGGACATCAGAGTCATTTAGATGATGTCGGTCCCGGTATCTCCTCCTTCGTTTCCTGTGACCACGACTGTCATGAATGCAGCGTCCCAAGCCTTTCCACCGACTCCGGGACGTACTCTGTGGATCCCTGCCATCTGCTGGAGAACAGTGAAGGTCAGCTGTGGATCTTCTGAATGTGCAACTATGACTACAGTTACTGTGTCTGAACGTGTGTCTTTACACTGCTGTAGATTTCTCATCAGAAAACAGAGATCTGAGTGACTGCGCAGACACTAATGGCTTTTCAGAGGAAGAACTCTTGAATATAACATTTGAAGCATGTGACACTTCTGGAAAAGGTATTCACTGTCCTTCCTTTAACAGATTTCTTAGAAAAAAAAAGCATTTTGTCTTTTTATTTTACTTAAACTGCAATCATCAAATCTAGATAAATCAGACCATTGTCAAGAGATCTCTTATTTTGCTTATTTTTTTTTTGCATCGGTGTAGATATGTATTTACAGTTGCGAAGACATAATGTTGGCCCACCTGTGAAACTTATCGTATTATTTTTCAAATATTCCCCAAGGGATGTTTAACAGAGAGAAGAGTTTTTAACACATTTTAAAACATTATTACTTTGCTGATAGTGCTTAATATATTAATATTATGCATGGTACTAGTATTCAGCCTAAATTGCAATGTATAGGTGTCTTAATGAAGTTGAATAGTTTAACTAGGCAAGATATGTTAATTAGTGAACAGTTAAATTCTTAAGGGTGCTAATAATATTGGTGCACTAGCGACAGACTCTTTGTTAGAGCAACCAACTCCCATGTAAAGAATTGCCGGATCGATCCCAGTTCAGACTAGGTTGGGCGCAGTAGTACCAGTGGGTTACATTTGGGGGCTCGTCCGGGATAGAAGTGAGTGTAACGGAGCCAGTGAGTTTTATATATGCATATAAATATATATATATATATATATATATATATATATATATATATATATATATATATATATATATATATATTTATATACATGCAAACTCCACACAGAAACGCAAACTAGCCCAGCCGAGGCTCGAACCAGCAACCTTCTTGTGGAGAGGTGAACGCTACTGCGCCACCGTGCGGCCCTATATATAGAGTTGATTCAGAATTATTAGCCCCCCTTTGAATTATTTTTCTTCTTTAAATATTTCCCTAATGATGTTTAACAGAGCAAGGAAATTTTCACAGTACGTCTGATATAATTTTTTCTTCAGTATATCTTATTTGTTTTATTCCAGCTTAAATAAAAGCAGTTTTTAATTTTTTGAACACCATATTAAGGACAAAATTATCAGCCCCTTTAAGCTAATTTTTTTCTGACTGTCTTCAGAACA